GGGATCTCGCTTGCACTACCATACTTGGTCATGACCTGTGCTCGGGTCTGGTACGTAGGTGACCAGCCCAAAGGGCCTGGAAAGTGAGAGATGGATTCGGGTTTGCGAGGTTGCGCCCGTCTTTCCTATTTTCTTAAACCAGGTTCTGGCAACACTTTCATCGCGATACTTGTTCATACTGTAGTTTAACGTGGTTCATCGTAGAATTAATTTTTGGCTTGGTATATTAGGTGCGTAAACGAAATGATCGATGGAACTTTTTCCATTCCGTCTATCTCTTTCGTTTGAGTATTAGCGACTACATTGCGTTAAATTTGTTATTTCGTATTACTAGCATTAATTCGTATTAATTAGAATATTAAGATAATATTAGTTCTAAGCTGAAGAACGAAGACAACCGACGAGGGAACTTAGTTTTTTATAGGTTTAGGCTCAAGAAAGAAGTCATCCGCCGAGGGATTTTAGTACCGATAGTATTAGATAGTTAAGATTTAAGTTATTTATAAGGTTTATTGTGAAAGGTGGGAAGATGTAGAACTTGTGATTCCATCTACCTGCCTTGGGCCTCCACTCGCAGCAACCTCCTCGTGGTGAGGCCTGGGCAATCGGTATTATCTTCGGTGAAGTACTGTAAACTGAAGACAATATCGAGCTAATGGCTGCAAACTTCGAATCTATCTCATAAAACCACGTTCTGTATTACAAAGTGTAAAAATGTCTAGTACTTTGAATGTTTAGAAAGTTTTACAGTTACAAATCTCGCGTACCGTCTTCAAAGCTTCATAAAGGTTTCATAAGTTTGACGCTAATTATAGGAACATTGTTAAAATCACAATTGTTTGCAACGGTTTACACTGTATCCCGTCATGCGTCCCCCGTTTAGTTCAATTTGGACAGTTCTTACAACGTTATACGGATTGCTTTCGTCTAAGTAAAACAGTCGATTTGTAGCCGAAAGAACGTAGATTAATCCCCTGTCATTGAAAATAACAATAAACGACCACAACACTGTTAAAATCGCATCTAATCGCGGAATACCACTATTTTTTTGACTGGTAGCGCCACCCGTGGCGAATCGCTGAAACTGCTAGCCAATTTTAGGCCAGCAGTTTCAACGATTTGCCACGGGTGGCGTCACCGGTCAAAAAAATAGTGGTCTTCAACAATTAAATGCGATTTTAACAGTGTTGTGGTCGTTTATTGTTATTTTCAATGACAGGGGATTAATCTACGTTCTTTCGGCTACAAATCGAGTGCTTTACTTAGACGAAAGCAATCCGTATAACGTTGTAAGAATTGTCCAAAATGAACTAAACGGGGTACGCATTACGAAATACAGTGTCAACCGTTGCAAACAAATGTGATTTTAACAATGTTCTTGTAATTACTGGTTCCCAGCCGTTAGAGAGTATTATTCTACATTGTTCAAACTTCGAATTTAATGCGTGACGAGGAAAAATGATGCCCGTTCAGCGGTGTAAATATAATCGAAATCTGTTACAAGTAGGGTTGCCGCCTCATAAGAGGCTACGGTAATACAGGCATAACTAATTTTACTAATTCAGGGGTTCTACACTATTGAGTCCATGCATTAAGTCCTGAGGGACAATTTGAGGTCGCCACTAAATGTCCCATAAATTCCCAAATTTTTCCGACACTTTTCTGAATCCACGATGACGGAAAAACCTACAAGTTTGTGGCGCCCTGGTTGGGGCCTAGAGACCCCCGCAGTCTATTATATTGTATGTCTATGGTATGGTGGAATTACCCTGTATTAATTAAACCTAGGCTAACTAAACCTATAGGAAAGCTCTCTGGTATCGGATATATGAAATTTGACTACATTATACCACGTGGCAGTAATTGCACAACTGTTGTTACATCATGTAGAAACTCAAATAAATTTCTACCAAATTCATGACACGAACTAACATGTTTTATTTGTCGCAAAACAATGTTGAGTAGAAGTAGTCGGAACTAATAGGATGTTGAATGGTCATAACATGCTAACGATTACATATGTTACAGTTACAGTAAACACTACCGATTAATGTTTGTAGCTTCCAATGTCGTACCAAACCTGTCATACTTTAAAACAGAAGCTTGATATCTATTTCGAGTCATACGCAGTGTGTTAATCGTTTATTTATATCATTACTGTGCTGCATTTTCAGCTGACCGGCTACTGGTACAAATCGTGCATTGTTATCACTAAAAAGTATAAAATGTTTCATTAGATTGGGATTGTCAGTCAAAACAAATTGTTTTTAGAACCATGGATGAGATCAAGTTCCATTTGTCGAATCAATTTGAGACGCTTCAGGTAATTGAACACTTCGTGAAATCGGCTTCGTCTATTATGTTTGCTACTTTGTATGTAAAAGGCAATTTTTTACATAATACAGTGACATTAATGCGAGAAAAAAGAATTATTACATTTTATTAGATATATATAAATAACTTGTTTTGAGGGAATATTGCAGCAATTTTGTTTTTATGTACAATGCTTTTTTCTTGTCACTTCAAGAAATGATTAACAAAAACATCTTTTTATACAAGATTCAAACATTGCTAATCAGACAACAAGGACAACAATGGATCACAGATTTGTTGTCACGGGGAAACCAGTTCATTTCTGAATTAAGCAGTCATCAAAATATCCAGGATACAAACATTATACAACCTATACTTAGGTGGTTTTACAGGGCCTGGGAACAACTACAATTTCAGTATTATAGCTCACATTTTAGTATCAAAGGATTTTATATGAATTTATATGATAAAGGTACCAGAGTTATAAAGAAAATAATACACCCTGAAATTATAATCTTTTTAAAAGTATAGTAGTAATAAACTATAATTTCTTTTCTTTAGTAACAAAACGAGAGTTAGTATTTTGTGTAGCAGGTTTAACTGCAGGTACTTTAATTGGTTATTATATTGGCATTAATTGGAAATATTCTGCCCATCATATGCATCATATGAGAGCTATCATATGTCGTCATTACATTGGTACTGAGGTATCGAATATAATTAAAATTAATTTTCAAAAATAATGTATTAAATTATTTTTATTTTCTAATTATTCGGTACAAAAGGGATTATTAAGGGGGGAATAACTAATACTTATTTTTTAAATGACTCAGGGTGTGTCTATGATAGATGATGCAGAAATGCCTATGATTCAAAAATCCAATGAGTTATTAATACAAGTTAAAGCTGCCTCTCTTAATGTTGTGGATACAAAGATTTGTTATGGATACTCAAAAATTTATAGAAGATTACTCAATTCTGGAGTATGGCACTTTCATTATTTTAATATCTGTGTTATTGGTATATGTTAATATCTACTTATTTATTTATTTATTTCCAGAAGTATAAAGGACTCCCAGTAACATTAGGGAGAGATTGTACAGGAATAGTGATAGGTATTGGACAGAGTGTTATTAATTTTGATATTGGAGATGAAGTATTCTTAGCTGTACCTTCATGGGGTCCTGGTACAATGACAGAATACATAGTTGTACCAGAAACCCAGGTAGTTAAACGACCAAAACTTTTTAATTTCGAAGCAACTGCCAGTATTCCATATAGTGGATGCTTGGCATGGGATGCCTTAATTAATAAGTCTACAATTCAAGAAGGCAACGCGAAAGAGAAACGGTACAATTGATTTTCTGTAAAAGCCCATTATTTTATCACAGGTAGAAGTTAAACATAAATTACTTTCATGCAGAGTACTTATATATGGTGGAAACACACCAGTCGGTTGTATTTTAACGCAATTAGTTAAGTTATGGGGAGGACATGTCTGTACAATATGTACATCAAAAGCTGCTCCTTTATCGAAAGCTCTAGGAGCGGACGAAGTCATAGTATTAAATAGCTCGAGTCTTGAAAACGAGTTAAAATTGCATAAAAAGTACGTGTAATGTTGAAGTGATCTAGGAAAAAATTACGTTTTTAGTTAGATTTTTAATTAAAAAAAAAAATTGTAGATATGATGTTATTTTTTACACTGGAGGTCAACCAATCGATGAACGTATATTAAAGCAACAATTAGAGCCTTATGGTTCCTACGTATCCACATTGCCTGAACAACTGACTTCTGATTCTTTAGGTTTTATATTTGGAAGCATATTCGCTGGATATGTACGACTAAAATTACTAGTACAGGTATAAAAAATATTGCGTTTAAGATATTTGTCCGAACATATCATTACTTACTTATTTCCTTACATTACAGTATATGTTTGGATTCAGTACACATCAGTGGAAAGAAGGTTCACAATTAAACGTGACATACTTACAAGCACTGAGTGAGTTAGTTGATGCTGAGCAATTGCAGGTTGTTGTCGATAGAGTATATGTACCTCATAACATCGAACAAGCATTGTATCACGTATTGGATCACAATGCTGTTGGTAGTACTGTAATAACATTTCAGTGACAACCAAATGTTTTTAGTGGACAGAAATTTGTTCATGCCAATACATTACGTACAATAATTTTCTATCAAAAAAGAATGTAAATATTAACAGTAGTGCCAAAGCACTGCCAAATGCCATTCAATATGAAAATAAATTCCACATACTTTACAAAAGTATAAAGTACATGTGGTGCTAAGATCAAGACTGAACAGATTGTGTATGACAGAAACAACATAATCGCACAATTTCTATCATTTTAAATTGTTATCTGCTTATGCATATATTAAATAAGACTATCATCACAAGACATCAGGAGTAACAATGAGTTATGCAAAACATCAAATGGCAAAAACTAATTGGTACATGTACATATAAACATGAAATGAAAGGATATTATTTAAACGTGTATGATCTATATTATCAAATAAATATAAATATATATAAATGTTCACAGTTAGTCACAACACTCCTATCTGTTCAGAAATTTTTATTTCTTACAATATTTCCTATACTGAATAATATAAATAATACGAAACCTTTCGAATGTTGAAAAGTATACACAATTCCAGACTTATGCTTGAAGCAATATCACCAATTACAAACAATTACTTTGGCCGTCCACGTGGTCTTCCAGCCGCACCTTTCTTAGCTTTCTTTGTTGCTCCTTTTGTTTCTTCCACCTATTTTAGACAATATGGACATTAAAGTTTAAACACACAATGACATGTACAATTTAAAGAATAGCTATAATTATACTGACTTTGCGTTTTGGAGGATTTGGATTTGGCAGAACCTTAAAGAATGTATCCAATCTACCTTGAGTCGAAGTATTTCTTGCTTTGTACAGTTTTTTTGCTCCATTTCGTACCCGTTCCTCGTTGAATTGTTTATTACCGCACAAAAATTCGACTAATCCTTCTTCATCTGGATCTGACCATTTTAACTTGACAAAATTAAAAATACTTATAAATATAATATATAAAGGGAACTAAGTGAATTGAAACCAAATAGAAATCGGATTTAATATCGTTTACACACATTGCAAGTATTAGAGCTCCGTACACAATATACCTACCTGGTGTATATACAAGTCTTTTTAAAAAGGAACAAAGTAATTTTGAAAAATGAAGGGCTACTACATTAAAGAAAATAATTTTCCTAGCGTCACATGTCTTTTTTGGACAGAGGCAACTTTCCAGTACTCTCCACTAAGCATAGGTAGTGTACAATGTCTTACATCAATTTTTTCAGGATTAGTCACTTCAGGCTCTTGGAATAGTATTCTGGCTTGTTTATAGTTCCAATCTTCTGGAATTGAGTACTTTTTGGTATCTAAATTTTCGACAATATTTTCAAGAGACCTATGCGTCTTGATCAGTTCTATGGCCCTTTTAGGTCCAATTCCTTTAATGCTGTTTGTATAATCACAGCCTAACATTATGCACAGATCAATGAACTGTTGATAAACAGAACACTATATAAAGCTCAGGCCAATAAATATTTAAAAACAAAAATATCAAGCTCACATACTTCATTGTGATTTAACTCGAGACCCTCTAGTACTTTATCAAAGTGAAACTCTTGTACAGGCATTTTTCTGGCTTCACTAAATGTTAATCGTCGAAGTAAAATATTGCATCCAAAAGTAAGAGCATCCATATCTTCTGTTGCTGTTGCAAAAACTTTACCAGCCTTGACTAAAGCGGCACACTGTGCTTCTGCTTCACAAGGAGCCTGCATAAAATATTACATGTATAGACACAAAGAAAATTATATTTTCACCTTTTTTACTCACATCAATGTAAGGAATACCCATTAACTTCAACAACTGCTTAGCCTCTTCTGCATGTTCTTGCGTAACTTTTACTAATCTCCTGTTAAACTTCTCTACATCTTCCACATTTCCTAGAAAAATATAACAAAAACATGAGAATAATACAGTGAATGCTGGAAAAATGAAATAACTACTAGACTAAGATAATTTGTAATACTTACCAGCTTCTTCTGCAGCTTGCAGAAGTTTCTGTGCTTCATCTCGCCTTTCTGCACGTTTTGCTAATTCACCACCCTTTAAGTTTGGAGGCTTTCCATCAAATACATATACAGGTTTTACTCCCTGTTCTACTAAGCGTATTGTTCGATAAAATGTGCCCATTAAGTGACTGTAATATAAAAATATATATGTAAAGGAACATTGTAATTTGTCAACTGTAATATAAAATATCAGAGGTTTGAGGCCTTTACTGCCTGGCATTGTACAGTAATTACTGTTAAGGCTTTCGGATATAAGCATTATTCTTTGGTAAAATTATGCAGCTAGTTTAGTTGTGGGAACATTCATTATTAAAATGCATCTCTTGCTCTGGTTTAATAGTTGTCAACTATAGATGTTAATTCACCAGTTTATAGCTTGAACAGTAATAAAAGTGGAATGAAATATGTAATAAAACAGTATATGCCTTGTTGTTTCACCATCCACTGTAGTAAGCTGTGCACCTTCACTCCGAACTGCGATGAGAAACTGATACAAACACATAGATGCATCTACAGCAACTTTACGACCTAGAAACAATTTGAAAGTGTTAAAATATTCACTTTGCAACAAATAAACTGAACAAATATTCAAAATACGTTTCAAAAATTTCAAGCAATGAGATGTCAAAATTCTACGTTATGTTATTCGATCTGGATAAAAGACATACCAAAATAATGTTTTAGTTCACGTTCCTTAATTGCACCTGGCGTTACATCAGCTACTAGTTTTGCCAACCCTAAAATACCCATAGTGATCAAGAAAAGAATAATCAAGCACAATTAATTGAACGACGCTTGAAATCACTTGAAATGTGAAGTCAGGTATAGTATATGAGTATAACGTAAACGAGGTTTCCCGCCAATATTGCGCCTACTGCTGCGCAATATCTGATTGCGATCTTTTTGGAAACTTCAAACCACTGATTTGTTCAGTGAGAAATATATCTTGTTATTTAAATTAACATCTTTTTATATTCACGCTGCTTTCATATGTATATATTTTACACACCATTGACAACTTTTCACATTAATCTTAAAGAATTAAATGAAAACATAAAAATAGTATTTGATATACCTGATATACGCCGAATGAAATTGAACACCCCGCTGGTATACATTCAATATTGGGATAGTGAATTATTAATCTACTTATAAATAAAAAATAATATTTTATTGTCATTTCTATATAATTCCATTAACACCACCTTAAAAACATTGACTTTACTAAACCAATGTTCCCTGACTTATGGCAACTATAAGTTATGGCAGAGTAGTTATTACGGATCACTAGTCATAGTAGTGATTGGCAGTGATCTGTCGTAGTTATCAATAGCATCAGTATATAGTCACCAGTAGATCAGTAGTAGGTTCATGTGTGTGTCGTACCTAATCGTACGCACGTGGTAATAGTTTTTAGAATTTGATGTGGCCGTGTAGGATTTGTAACGAAAGATGGATTGCGACTTAATTAAAACTATCGAGGATGATCAAGAAGTACCAGATTATTCTGAAAATTCTGATGTAGAAGACGATGTAAGATACTTTAACATCTGTAACTTATAATGTTATACGCATTTTGGAATTTTCAGTAAACAGAAAAAAAACAAAATATTTACTGCATAAAGTCTATTATGTGTAGAATAGTGTAAATAATTTGTTGTTCCTGTAGTTTCAGCCACGGAAACAAAAGAAAAAGGAAAAAAAGGACTTTGATAGAAATTTTCAGTTTATAAATGACGTTTCTGAGTATAATAAAGACACATGGAACGATTTAAGCAAGTACATTAAACGTAAAGCGAAGACGAAACTTGATGACAAAATTAAGAAGATTAGAAAAGAAACTGAGACTGAAGTGTGTATATCTATTGTTGGATTAATTATTGGTTTTAATTTAATATATTGTTCATTATTGTGGAGGTTATCAATGCTGCTATGTAATTATGCAAATATTGTCACTATACATATAACATTTTTTTACTTAGACGTCTATCAATAGGCTTTTGTGTAAGAATTAAAATGAAATTATTGTTACATTATGTTGCTTAAGTTACTCTTGCAGTTGTAATTTGCCACTGGAAAAGAAAGATGCTTTAATAGATTTTTGGTTATTTAGCTTTTTTTCTAAAAAACTATATAAAGCTACAGTAGAGTTCTTAACCATTCCCCATGAGATCAGACTCATGACTGGATAAACAAATAGCCAGTTAATCTGAAAATTTATGCCAAATATTATTTATACAGTTTATATAAATAAAAAATAAAACTAATAACCATTTAAACAATGTTCAATGTGTTAATCAGTACATTTAGTATTATATATAATACTAATTATTTCTATTCATCTGCATATGAATTTAGTTGCTTGAGGTACTTCATTTTTTTGAACGAATGTCTATCAATGCATATCTATTTGTATTCCCTTTATTTTCAGAAAAAAGATGATAATTCTGTCACAGATCCATCTGAAGTTAAAAGAGAGGATGATGAAATTTCTCTGTCAGAAGACGAACTTAAAAAAGGTATAATCATATTTTTATTGTATTGTACAATTTTAAATTTAAATAAACTGTAATATATTATAGATGTGTTTAAAACCAGAGAAAAAAAGAGTAAGAAGAAAAAAGTAGCTAAAGAAAGTGATGAAGAAACAATTAACTTTGAAGAATATTCTAACTTGGAACCATATGCAACTTTTTATCAAATGAATTTATCACGACCTCTATTGAAGGTATATTTCTGTTGCTTCTAAAATCTAAACTATTACATTTTAATACATTTATTTTTAATAATCATGCATGTATCTATTTATTATAGGCTATAACAGCTATGCATTTTGTACATCCTACACCTATTCAAGCTGCTACGATTCCAGTTGCATTAATGGGACGAGATATATGTGGTTGTGCTGCTACAGGTACTGGTAAAACTGCAGCTTACATGCTTCCAACTCTAGAAAGATTATTGTATAGGCCTCTAGATGGACCTGCTGTTTCTCGAGTTCTTGTACTTGTACCTACAAGAGAACTTGGTGTGCAAGTATATCAAGTCACCAAACAGCTGTCTCAGTTTACTACAGTTGAAGTAGGATTATCTGTTGGCGGCTTAGATGTAAAAGTTCAAGTATGTAATTGAAATATAACAATAATGTGTATTAAACATACATGTATGTATGTTTAGTACTAAATTTCTCATTACTGTTCAAATAGGAATCTGTATTGAGGAAGAATCCAGATATTGTAATAGCTACACCTGGCAGATTAATTGATCATTTAAAGAATACCCCTACTTTCTCATTGGATAGCATTGAAGTACTGATTTTGGATGAAGCCGACAGGTAAATTAAACAAAAATACTTTATTCGTGTTCACTCTGTATCATAATTAAAGCTGTTTTGATGAATTCCATTGAAGGATGTTGGATGAATACTTTGCTGAACAAATGAAGTACATAGTTACACAGTGTTCAAGAAGCAGACAGACAATATTATTTTCCGCTACTATGACAGAAGAAGTCAAAGACTTAGCTGCTGTATCGTTAGATAAACCAGTAAAAGTATTTGTAGATAGTAATCAAGATGTTGCATTTAATTTACGTCAGGAATTTATTCGGTTAGTAATGGCATAATAAGTGTATTCTGTAATGCAGATGAATGTAGTTCATGAATTTTTTAAAAATACAGGATACGGAAAGAAAGGGAAGGGGATCGTGAAGCTATTTTGGCTGCACTGATTTGCAGGACGTTTCATGACCACGCGATGGTTTTTGTCCAGACGAAGAAACAAGCCCACAGACTTCACATTCTATTGGGATTATTAGGTGTAAAGGTACAGGAAATGTAACTTTTATGTAAATAGGAATATTTTTAGATAATTTGGTATTATAGATATAGTTTTTACATTCTAGGTTGGAGAACTTCATGGCAATCTTACGCAACCGCAGCGTTTAGAAAATTTACGAAAATTCAAAAACGAGGAAATAGATATTTTGTTGGCTACAGATGTTGCTGCAAGAGGTTTAGATATTAGTGGTGTAAAAACAGTAATTAATTTTGTTATGCCGGCTACTATGCAACATTATATCCATAGGTACCTACCCGTAATTTACGTGTATACATGCATGTGTTATAGAAAAGATAATTATCGTATGATTTATTTACCAGAGTTGGGAGAACTGCTAGAGCTGGTCGGGTTGGAGTGTCAGTATCATTGGCTGGTGAACAAGAACGTTCGTTAGTTAAAGAAATAATTAAAAATGCAAAGAATCCAGTGAAAAATCGAATAATACCGCCTGATATAATTGAGAAATATAATAAGAGGCTACAGTCCCTTGAACCTGACATAAGGAAGATATTAGAAGAGGAAAGAAACGAAAGAGAAATAGCGAAAATGGAAAATCAAGCGAATCGTGTCGAAAAATTACTTAAGAATGCAGATAATAAAAACGAACAAAGAAGTTGGTTCCAGACACAAAAAGAGAGGAAAGAAGAACAAGGTTTGGCCCGAATTGAAAAATATGTAGTGTTCTCCGTGATATTGTTACAGTTTTACCAAAGGAAGAAGTTTAATCTTACACCAAATTTTTTTTATACATAAGGCATTCAATCATTTTTATTTACATATGGAGAGCTTTTGTCTTATAAAATATATTTCATAATGTGATCGTTCTATATGTATTTAGAAATTGTTGCTGTCTTAATTAGAACAGGCATTATAAAATTTGTTTGCTTTCTTTGTATGTAAACAATTGTTTATTAGAATATTTTATATTGTGTTTAGAGAAACTAGCACTAACCGAAAAACGACCGAAGAGTAAAGAAAAGAAACAGCAAAACAAAGAGCCTTCAAATATAGTCGAAGAAAAGAAGAAGAAGAAGGGGTCCAAGGAACCTAAAAAGGAAACTGCGGAAGATAGAGCGAACAAGGAATTAGAAAAGATTGCAGCGTATCAAGCAAGATTAGCTAAAAAGAAAAATAAGCAGAAAAAGATTCGAACAGTTGTAGAGGATAACAAATCTACGAATAACAGAAGAGGTATGTTACAGGAAAATATTATTTTTAATTTTAACAATTCAACGGCGTTCTTTTTATTATATATATTATGAATATATTTTAGCAGCAGTAAAACGACCGAAATCTTCATTTGCTGCCGACTTAACAGATATAAGTAAGAAAGCTGTAAAGAGAATGCGTTATGAGTAAGTATACCTATTCTTTTTAATACTTACAAAACAATATGATGTACTCCAGTATTATAGTTAAAAACGCATTAATTATGTAAATTTTAGGGCAAATACTAAAAAAAATCAAAGTAAAACGAAAGGTGGACACAGCTTCAGTAGAGGAAAAATGGATAATAGAAAAGCTTTTGGAAAACGTTAAGATGATTTTTTGTGTTTGTAACTACATCTTATTAAATACATACCATCTTATTTAATTTGTTTTATTATAGAACCGTTACAATGCGTCACTTATGTCTCACAGATTGACAGATGAATAGCACTGATTAATTGTTTTTTTTTTCATCAGAATATGTATACTTCATAGTCTATAACCTGTTTGAGAAAATTGCAGTACTATGCAATTAAATATCAGTAAAAACAGATATTGCTAAAATACTATAAAATACAAGGTAGCGTATTGCGAACTAGTTTAAATCTATAAGTCACTCTGAGAAATGTTGAATGCAATTTAATCAATTTAAGACAGTAACAATGCATTGCTAATAAAGTATTATGAAACAATACTCCAAAAAAAAAAAAAAAAAAATTCTATGATAATAGGAGAGAAAGTGAAAATCGTATAGTTTGCATTGTACTGTAATTTTAGTGAAGAGGTAATAGGTATGTGTTAATTCTATAGTGTTTAGATAATAAGATCAAACATTCATCACCATTCACAGCCTCATTCACAATTTCCATTCACCTTTACGTTTAATACACTTTAATGCTAAATGCTAATAATCCTAATGCTGAAAAAGAAAATTTTATAAAACCTAGGCCCATTTTAAATTACTTGAATTCTATTCACATTTGTATCCAACCTCTTCTTCTGACTACCTTAATAGTAAAATTTCCATACTAATACGCAAATTTTAATACAACCACGAGAGAATGTGTCATTTCTAATTTTCAAGCACATTCTTCAATAAAACTTTCATTAATATAATTTTATTATTAATAATATTGATGAATAAAAACATTGTTTTAAAAATATAATATACGAATACACCGAGTTTAAAACGAATTTTGATAGATAAATTAAAAAGCAAGGATAAATTCATGATGACAAATATTTCTACAATAGGTTTTCCATTAATACCAAAATTTTTGTATATATCTGATAGAAATGTAAAGTGACCATATTATAATTAATCGAAAATGTGTATAAAACTATTGAAGCGGTTGTATCAGGTCACAGGAACAATACGTTTACCGTAATCTAAGTATAGAAAGGTTTTCGGATACAAATCTGAATTAAAGTGAGATACGAAAGTTTATAATACATACACAATGACAGTAATACAAGAATAACTGTCACATACGATGAATTCTTTTTTAAATTGATTATTATAATGATGATGCATTCTCATTACTTTTGCATAACAAAAATTTTTAACAAATAATTCTTTTTTTTTTATATTAATGCGCACTATTCATCGAAGGTATATTTATATGTATACATGTATAGATACTATTGAAGTATTTATAAGGTCACCTTGTTTGAAATAAATTAATAATTAGTGGCCGTGCGCTGACCAAATCTCAAACACAATTTAAGTTAATTTTAGAATTAAAATATAAACAGATAATTTTAGGAGACAGTAATAGTTAGAGCTATGATCTTCTCAATAGAATAATAATCAATAATAATAATAGCAATACGATAATAATTATAATAATGATAATCAAATTAATAGAAACAAACAAACTTTGGATTACAAAGCCAATTGACACACACCGTTTTACCTGGAACACAATGTTTACAGAAATCCAACAACGTCATGTTGTTCTCTTCTGCGTATAAAAAACAACATATTTAATACATACGCTCACATTTTTATAACAAACCTGCTTTCAATTACTTTAAATTAAAAATGAACGTCGAGTATGATAATAGTACTTATGGATTCTGTTGTTTGAAAACAGTTCGCGTTACATATACTTTTTACATTTACCTGAAGGAAAATGGGCATAAAATAGTACAAACGTTTATATTCAATGGTGCAAAAGTGAACCATATAACAATCGTCAGATATTTTATAAAGAAGAAAGACCTTCGATTAGAACACATTTTTAAAACAATATTTATAATCTGTTTAAATCAATCATGTGAAGGAATCATATTTTTGTATCATCGAATGTGTCACTGCTTTTGTTAACGTAGTAAGAAATTGATCGAAAAACATATTTACGTATCCTTTCATAATTACAAAAAGTATCATACATTCTTCAAATGGTGTCAAATAATAAATTTTTAATTTGTTGTAACTCCAAATATTTTTTTTTTCAAGTCGTATAACCTACACGTATTAATTATTTGACGTTAATGTATAATTATCTTAACACCTTACTGTCTAGACATACGCGAACGACAGGTTTATTAATTGTTGTACATAACCAAAATATTCTGTTTTCTAATTTGTAAAGTATTTTTAGATTCTTTAATTCTTATGATCATCACGTCCCTTAAGTCTTTCCCCTATTACTAACGTCCCCTTGGATACAGTTCAATCACTTAATTATTTATTTACTTTATCCGATTCTCTTAATGCCCTCTTTGCTGGTGGTTCGTCGATCTAAAAAAAATTATATTCTTAGTATGTATTAGACTCTTTATTGCACACTCAAATTTTACCTATTTACCTCTTCTTCTAAACCAGGTAATTGAATTCTAGTTTCTGATGCTTCCGCTGGCTGTAAATAAGTTTCACGTGTCATATTTATGATATTATGAATCGGCGTGTGGTATATATCGAATAATGTAAAGTATTTATCTTTTCACGAAATCTTGAACAATTTTACCTGTGCATCAATACATTCCACTTCTCCAATTTGCAGCTTGAAATCACATTATACATACTCAAAAACTTTTAACGCTATTGCTTGTATTTATTTATGCGTAAAGAATAATATTTATCTTACCCTTGCATCAGTTTCATTTGGCCCGACGCCCACTTCTTTTTGTTGTTTGGACTTAGCTCTGCGTTGCGGCCTATCACTGACAGAATGTACATTGTGAAGTGATCCTTTCCCTTTGGGACTCGACATGTTAATTTGCATTTCAGAGGGCAAATAATTTCTGGTGTTTGCGAGGAGTTCATCTGCACGCTTGAAGTACATAGTGGGAATCCGTGTCTCGCTTGGGAATTCTTTTATGTCGAAGTTTGTCGTCTTAGTGAATATTACATTCATAGCTAAATCGCAAACAGCCCATAATTTCTGTCAACAAATAAGTGACCTAAGTAACGTGACACATGGAATGAATACATAGTAAAATGTCGTTGAAAATAATTACATAGTTCATGGTGTTATCCTCTGGTTTCAAAGCGTCCTTGTGACTCTTCATTCGCTCTATGAGATTTTTATAAAAACCATAGCAATAATACTCATTTTTCGTTATAAGGGGTTCTAATATAAACCATAAACACTGTTGTATGACTTTCAATTGACTCGTCATCAAGTGACTCGTGAATTCAGGATCATGTGCAAGAATAGGAACCGCGAATACTAGCATGTAATCGGGTAGAATATGCGGCAATTGACCTATAATCAAAATTTAATTGAATAATTATCATTTGTCGATTCAACGATTTTTTTTATAAACCATAACGAAAAATAATGTCAAACAATATTTCGATATAATGGCTTACTATTTAGTTTCTTACCCATGGCCCGTTCTACGGGACCCTGTGACAGCGTCTTAACATAATCCCTCCTCTTATTTATGTCAGCTTGCATGTAAGCTTTTAAAACACACTTTAGTCTTTTATCCTGTTCTTTGCCGGCGAGTGCATAATAGCCCATAAAATCCAGCGGCAGGCATTTGTTTGGAATTCCCCTTCCAAGTCCTTTGTGTAATTTGCTACCGAAAGCCTCTCTTACTTGTGGAACCTCATCCTACGAATCAATTGGAAGAATTTACATGGGAGCATTAACATTTAATAATAGCTTCACAATTTTTAATCATTAGCATACCACCATGAGTTGAGATAGGTTGTAAAACTGTTCGGCCGTGAATTGATCACCAACGCCTTTTTGCTCACATATCTTTAACATCGAGCAACCCGCTTGTAATCGTAACCAACTCATTTCTGCTTTACTTAAACGACCTTGTTGTAAAAGATCCCCTTTATTCACTACAAATGCATTTAGCATTCTGAACGTTTTTTGTGCAGAGAGTACGTCAGTCTTCAATCCTAATAACCATCGTGCCATACATTTTAATCCTTCTAATCTACAACGCGTTTCCTCAGGTAATTGATCTTCTCTGCACCAGTCTCCTTCAATGGCGTCAGAAGTCTGTTCACTGCTTTCCTTTACTAATAGTTCTTTGACTATCTGCAAATGCATAAAACAGTGTAAATCACGAGAGGCTATATTAATCACAATTTCTACGTGATAATTAACTATTGAACTTTACCTTTCTAGACACCATATTTTTTATTTGTACTTGATATTTCTCTGGTAAATTATAAGCTATATGACCTAACGTGACTATAGATGTTCGATAATATTCTGATGTTGGTGTAAGGGTATTCTTGATTCTCTCAATAATTTCAGGGAAAATGGTATCGTGAATATTGGTCATATTAACGAATAAACACCTTACAGCCTGTTTTGCTTGTTTCGATGTTCCTGTTTCAGCGAAATTTTTACAAATTGGAACCATAAGATTCATAATATCCGGGGCTACGTCACACAAAGGTTTATATTTTCCTAAAAATGTGAAAATCGAAAGAACCAACGACGCTACCATTTCATCCTCTAACTCCAAAAGATGAACAAGTTGCATCAGAATATCATTGTGAAGAAAATGTGGACCAAATACAAATGAAAGCATCTGAAAAGGAACGATGGAATATATATTTCTAAGAATTTGAAAACATTTCTACACATTTGTCAAATATAGAATTACGAACATACCACGAGTAACCTCAGACCTTTCTCTCCTGCATTATTTGGATTTAGACCAACTTCTTCTATCACATTTCCGCCTTTTAAACAGTCTAATACATATCCAATTAAAACCTGTCGAAGTAAAACCAATGTAAGTGTATTCGACAATCAGCTACGGTAATATGGTAATATAGAAATATGTATAACTACCCTAATAGCTTCTTCATCGATCATTACAGAACTGACTCTTTCCAGCAACATCTTTATTGTATTGTAATACAAATTCGTCATGACAGGTTGACCTAATTTTTTGAGAACCATACTTATTGTATCCGCACATTCCTTGCACGAGACATTTGGTTGAACTATCGTATCCATTCCTTGTAGCAATGCTGAGTCTTTTCTCATGTGAGCGCTGAACTTCTGTAAAAATTCTTGCACTTTCATGGGATCTGGTAAAAAGCGAGATATCTGATGAATTTTTGCCACTAATTCAACCACAGCATCTGGTTTCTTCACTATTTCTAACCATTCAACTACTGCCCTCCGCACACTAAAGTAGAAAATATAGACATGAAGACAATACATGTGAAATTATATTTTACATTTACATAAAAATACCATGTCAAAGTATACTTACGCGAGTTGATGTTTTTGTAGTTCGACAAAAGCTTTAGATGCATGATCATCGATTGTACCTAACAAATGATACAATTTCTTCATTCTTTCACCAGCTGGCAGCTGATAAGGTACTAAACAGGTGTTCAATAATCTTTCTACCAATAATCTATCTTCCATGCCTGCCATGTAATAACCATGCAATATTTTATCCTTTATCCAAGTAACAGCCTTCTTTGTAGCTTGTGGTACATCCGCGTCATTTAAGTGTTTTTTATATATCATTGCCAATCCTGCCATTGCTTCTTTTCTGATTTTAAACTAAAAATTAGATAAATAAAATAATATTTCGTATATTATTTAAGTAATATGTTCCATTTAATAGCATACCTTTTTATCCAAAGTTCTTTCTTTAACGAATTCAAGCAGATCCTCACTGTCTGATACAACTTCAAAATCTCTTCTGGCAGTAGTTACTATAGCCATAACAACTTCGTATCGGACGCTTTCGTCTGCATCGTGTTGCCTTAATTTTAAGGTGTCAGTAATATCTTTCCTTAGCTCAGGATGGTTCAGTAAAAAATGCATCGAATACTGTACACATTTTATACGAATCGCCACACTGATATCGTTAAATCTTCCTAAAAATGCTCGCCACAATTGCGTATATTGTACAGCTAACTGAGATCCTTTTTCAGAGAACATTCTGGCTAGTAACGCCACGGCCCCCAATCTTTCGTTTTCGGAGGAAGATTTTAGTTTACACTCTAATTGTGGAAGGACGGACAATAAGACGCTCGGACATATGTGATTTAACTCGTAAATCAAATCATATACTTTCTTGCAGATTTGTAAACTCTTCTCCTCTTTACCCAAAATCAGTACATGGTTAAAAAACTATAAAAACATAGATATATTATTCTGTTATTTTTTTACTTATTGAAAATATTTAAACGGAATACGTTAATTTCATGTTACTCACTGCTTGAATATAAGGTTCTAATGTATCGCTACATTTAATTACTAATTCCTTTGCGAGCAAGTATGCATTCTTTTTCTGTGTTTTGTTCGGCTCTACAATATTCATAAGTATAATGTCCAGAAGTTCGTTACTAACAATGTCTGACTCTGTAATAAGTGGACACAGTACGTCTAACATAAAACTTTTCACTTTCCCAGAATGTTCATCGCTGTAATTATAAAACAATCAAGTGTTTGCTGTTACTTTGGGTGTTGCATACTTTATTCATAAGTATACTTACTTTACTATCCTAAACATAAGGGAAAAAAGTGCACAGAAGATTTCTTGACAGTCTTCTAATTCAAAGCACATATTAAAAGATTTCACGTATGCCAAGTTTTCCAATAAGTAAAAGTATCTTTTGAAAGCAGGATCTTTAGGATCTTTCAAACCGGCCAATTGTTTAATCAGAAACAGGAATATTGTTTTAACCTATAACAATTCAAGACTCATTCAATGCAACAATAAACTTCAGATATGTATTTAGATTTCATATAAAAATTTACTATTAACGTCAATACAGTCAAACAATTGACTATAGCAAACAAACTTTTTTCTCCTTTTTACCTGTTCTGCATCTTTATATGGAGCTTCAGGTGCATAAACCCTCAAAACATCGGCTATACAGCAAGCGATTAAGAGTTGTACATCTTTACTTTGATGCATTAGAAAGTATTCTTCTGCCAAATGTAATGCAAGTGGAATATATTGCTGATACATTCCTTCATCTTGTCCCATTGCTTGTAATGTGTGAGCTAATGTCTATTCAATAAATATTAGTGTAAGTTCTTTCTGTCCACTTGAGTTATAATTTCATGCATTACAAAATAATGTATCTTTATTTATAAATGTACCTTCAATCGCCTAATAAGTTCATCTGGACCCAGATCTTCTGTGACAGATCTACACCCTTGCGGGTAAACTATTTCTGACATAGTGTTTACTTAATGGTTCAACCAAGTATGAGATACTGTATGTCCTTAAAATAATCTAGAACACTGTCCAAATTCTGCAACGTTACATATGTTGTTAACTATCATTACTTAGGAACCCAATAAGAAAATTGTTTGTAATAGATAGACTACAGACTTTATGCATTTACAACAAATACAATTCAAAATGTTTTCATTCAATTATTTATGCATTCAGATCTTTAAGAGAAAAAATACATTTTTATGCAAATTTTGCCTGTGTATATTACTTTTGGAAAAGGTGATTTTGTAGAAAGATCCACAGTTTAATGATAAGAAATTGAAAAATAAATTCTTTTGAAAAGTAAGCTTAAAATCAATTGAACAAAACACTAAATGTCAATGTTTATATTCACATCAGGTTAGTGACTTTCACGACTATACACTATTACAGCTTCAACATCAGTGCAAACAGCAAGGGAAAATTGTTATGGATATAAGTAAATACAAATTCTTTAATGTAAATATGACTTAAATCAGTTCGATGAAGTAAAGAATTACATGCTGATTTGTACGTATACTTATTAAAATATATTTATTTGTATTCTAAAACTGATTATCGTCAAACGTATCGCGTAGGTTATGTCCATTGGTCAAGCATAACTACAGAAAAGCGACATAAACAATATTATTATTTAACGCATTTGAACAGTTAAAACATTCTGAAATGTAAGTTCATGAGAAATATTAAGTATGGTATGCATTATAAAATGTATTACCTCAGGATATGCATAGGCACCACAAGGCCTGTGACACTCGGAATATCAATAAAGCAAATATATGTGGTGGATACACGGCACTAGTTTAGTTTTGGGAGTTCACACACTATCGCGGTATAATTATTACTAAGTGCGAATATATCGCTTTCGACGTAACATTCGGAATTTTTCGTGAATATTTCGCATGGTAAAACGATCAAAATGTTATCAAAAAAGGAGCGAAACAGTTTTCGTAAACGGTTAAGCGTGTCAAAGGACGCAACAGCGCAATTCGATCACTTGAAGTTGTCTACATTTCGCGATACCGGGAGTCACTCAAGCTCTAAGTGGTTAACAACGCTACTGCGAAAATACTGATGTACAATAACGGTTATTCTATTGGTTGAAATGCGTTGAAGAACATGAACGCGCCAATGATACAGTGATACTGCATCTTGAAGTTAGATCATAATGTAATGGCGAATTCTAATTAATACGATATATGCCGGCGATTAAAATAATGGGTTGGTGAGAAAGTAATTTCGTTTCGATGGAATTTTAAACCGACTACTATCTGTAGAAAATTCACGTTAAATACCACAGAAGTTGGACCGTACCCATTTGCAAACAACCCGAAAATAAAGTCCCTCTTCTTTATTCTTCATAATTAAGATGACCAGATGTTTTAAGTTGCAATGCGGGACATGTCCAAAAAAAACGGCGTAAGAGAAAGACCTCCTACCACTTGGTAAATTTATTTCAAATACTGAAATAAATATTAAATCGAATGTTAATTTGGCATAAATTTCAATAATTCCCGAAACCAAATTTTAGGAGGCCCTTCTCTAACGCCACTTTTTCCCCTAACGGGAGCCGAGTTTGCTCGTGAGGGTACCTTTAAACATTAAAAGATTTCACTGTATTTCTTTCTTCTCTGAATAATAGCATAGTAATCAGATAAAGTTTGTAAAAGGTTGATTCCTGACACAAAACGAATACGTTTTTTTTAAGCAAATACGCATATATACAGAGTGTCCCAAAATCACACCAGAAATCACTCCTTTCAAGGACTTACATTTATTTTGAGACACCCTTATATTTGAAAACAAACTTCTATGGTGTATAAAATAATATCATTGATAAAATAGAGTAATTTAAATCATAAATTCTATTTTTTAGAAGTATTTTAAGAAAATATTTAACAGTATATATTATTTGTACCTCATTATAACTGTTGTTATTTCCCTAGTATCAAACTCATTAGAACATGCTTGAATTACTAGTAACCGGAAATCGCAATTCTCCCTACCTTTTCTGCTCGGCACATGCAACGTGTGCGTGTCTGGTTCAGCGCTGATCAGTTTTGTTATTAAAAAATTGATCATCTCGACCAGGAAAAAATATAAACAATGGTAAGTAATTATTTGGAAAATACTTATATGCCTAATAAATTTTTGAAATACATTTTTGCTATAATTGTATGATTATTTACAAATGAATCCTAGCTTGATAGGTTAGTTACATACATTCTGAAACGTGCGATTTACAGTATGCGTCTTATATGGTGACTCGTAAAACTATACTTACGTAGTTAATTGATTTTACATAAATTCGATTGAAAAATCATAATCTCGCGTCTAATGTTTATTTTAATTTATTCATACGGAATGTAGTTTAATTTCTTTTGAATTCTATTTGTAAAGTGTTTTAAGAATTAAAATAACATTTCAGGCAAGTACGAAGACTGACAATCCTGAAAAACCAGGGCAGGAAGTAACTCCTATTCACAGAATTAGGATTACACTTACCTCACGGAATGTCCGTGCTCTTGAGAAAGGTAAATTGCTTTCAATAAAATTAATATTGTTCAATACCATTCTATGACTTATTCTAATGATATGATATTTTAGTTTGTTCTGAACTGATCAATGGGGCAAACAAACAGAAACTAAAAGTTAAAGGGCCAGTTCGTATGCCCACAAAAATTCTGAGGATAACTACACGTAAAACACCTTGTGGTGAGGGTTCAAAAACCTGGGATCGTTTCCAGATGCGTATCCACAAGAGAGTTATTGACTTGTATTCCCCATCTGAAATTGTAAAACAAATTACAAGCATTTCTATTGAACCTGGTGTTGAAGTGGAAGTTACAATCGCTAATGAATAAGACATTTTGAATAAAACTATGTAAAGTTTTAATAAAAATGTAAAAATACTAAAACTGGTGTTAAATGTGTATGTTTTACATTGATCCTGTTCAGCCTTGTGCAGACACTGCGAGACGTGCTTCGCGAAGTGTACACGTGTCTCCCACTGAGATTGCTCGCGGCGAGGCATCTATACGCTTCACGAGGCAGTTGCGGATGCAAGCCTCTCAGTGTCTGTACACGGCTTTGGTTCTTACATGACATACAATATAAAAAGCATATTGCTTGAATGAAAAATTTGTTTTCTTATGAATAATCTGAATGTTATTCATCCGTTTATTTTATCAATAGAAAATTATTTATAAATTATAATACATCGGATTTTGTATGTTTATTTGAAATATTCTGTGTAATGTCCAGCAAGGCAGTAGCATACTTCCAAAAGTATGGTTCTGACTTGGAAATAATTGTCACTTAATGAAAAGTGGGATTTATAAATTTATTCTATGCGTTTATTCTTCTTCTTGGGACTCATTGCCAGGTTTTTTATCATCTTCCGCATCTTCGCCACCGCTAAAACCGTCCATTCCTTCTACTTCTTCTTCGTCATCATCACCGGCAACCTCTGCATTTTCAAGTTCAGCTCGTTCCATTTGTTTAGCCAATTCTGCTTCATCCGTTGCGGTAACGACTTTTGGCTACAGATTAAAAAGTTTCTATTGCAATAATCATTTGTATATGTTGAATATACTTATCTACTACTGACAGATTTCAGTAACTCAACTTACAGCCATTTGAACATTAAATACACCTCCAAGTGATGTTATTTTAGTTTGTATAACATTAATAGCATCATTCAGTGCTTTCAAACCATCTTGTTTCTCTGGTGTCGATGTGGTCATGACTGAGATAAAGTGAAAACATAAATTTTATTATAGATTTTAATATTAAAATAGACAGTAAAATAGACATTAAAAACACATATAAGGGAAAAAGTAATGTACCGTATAATGGCGGTGCAATTAAATTAATTTTAATTGGAAGTTCATCTGTAGAAAGTGCTAAGCCAGTTTTTAAAGCAGCTTTCACTGCATCAATACCCTCGTAACCATAACAAGCTACTTCTACGTCTGCTCGAATTTTAACTGCTTGAGAAGTCAATTTTCGTTTAATATTATTCAATAATACTTCTTTTGTATGTTCATCAAGACCACATTCTGCTAAAATAGATGGGTCCCTGAAGTGATAATGTTTTAATGATCATTATCATGCATATAATGCTTTGAGTGTTTTGCTTTTTCTGTACTTACAGAACTGATTGTTTAAAGAAATCATACGCAGAAGCCTTTTGCTTCTTATACTTTTCTTCAAAATGCCATGCAGTCTTTTGATATAGTTCTTCCAATTGATCATCACTGTCGTAATGTAACAATTCCGCGACATGTCTTAAAATTGAATTAACAGCTTTTGCTTTTGCATACCTCTCTGTACATTTCTCCACATCTTCGGCTGATACACGACGTTTACTAAGATCGATATAACCTGCATTACATTAATACATGGTATAAAAATATATGAGGAAACATACATTTATACAGGGTGTTCAATAACAAGTGTGAGAAATTTTAATCATGACATATGACGCTAGGTAGTTACGCCACTGACAGTCATCAACTGAGCTCGTGAATCAATTGCCCAACAGGCTCTTACAGGAATCTAGCCTGTTGATCAGATGTTTTCACCCACATTTTCAACTACTAACTCGGAAACAAAATCTTTAATGCAATTTCGTTATTCTTTATTTTTGTCTTAGTTTGGTATATAGAATCAGCCCTTAAAATTTCAAACACTTCTAATTCAACATCCTGTATAATTCTTCTTTATAGGTACTCCAGGTTAACAACTGCATTGAGCTAGTCATCAATAATAGTCTGCTATAATAATCCAATAAGAGTGATAAAAACTCATATAAATGGAGATGTATTAGATTAATGTACAAGAAATGTACGTTATTCATAAGTCAACCTTATATTACATCATTTTTTCTTTTACCTTTTTCTTTGTCAACTCGAATAACAACAACTGGCTCAGTTTTTCCTACCCTAATGAGTTTATTAATAGACCTGATACGTCTTCTGGACAATTCAGATAAGAGAATCATACCCTCGATGTTATTATATTCCAGTAAATGTACATATGCTCCCATTTCAGCTATACTGCGTACATTTACCATTACTACATCTTCCACTTCTGGATACTTTTCTTTGTAAAACCGACACGACAACACCATTTTCACTGCTGAAAAATAAAATTTACATTTGCATTCTTTTAATCAATAACTAAAACTTCACGGAATAATTAGAAAATAGAAGGTTATTATGTAGGTTAACTTCACGAATTCATTATATTATGTGATAATACCTTTTTTATAATTACCAGTATGAGTATATCCGCACGAGGAACAATTAACTCTTTATTTACACCACCAAAATATACTTAGAACAGTAAAAAACCACGGAAATATGTCAATAATCCATGTGCAATCGTGACTGAATTTCAGTCTGATTATTAAGAGAGAGACGGTGGCCAACCTGCATGCTCGTTTATTGACAACATCAGAGTTGTGGCACTCTTACAAAAAATCTGAAAATATTCAAAGATATGAACGATAAAAAAAGCAGTAATATATTTCATGAATACTTTTTATGTTAATGAGTAATTATATGAATAACTATAAAGTATCCTTAAATTTCTTAGATGATTACATAAGAATCAGGGCTACCTTAATTTCAGTTTTTGCCTGAAATCATTCATCGTTTATTCTTTCATTCCCCATTTGTTAAATTCGGGATCAACAAACATTAATGTACGATTTATAGTAAATTTTTCCTCTTCTTATAAATCCATAGAAACAGAATTCAGATTTCCCTCTTTCATCTTTAGTTATAAAATATATCACAGTTAGCACTATGTACGACCTGCTATACTAGAAGAGTTTCTTATTTATAATTGTTTGTGGATAACACATTTTCTCAAAGGATGCGACATCAACGGTGATAAATATTCTCAGATAATATCGTCATTAAATTAGTAAAAATCGTAACAGTCATTGATGTAACAGATGCTAACAACGATAATGTGTAATGTACACTAATTTTTTCTGGTTGAATAAATTATGAAACAATATCGGTGTCCACACATTATTTGAAATTTAAAGTCGACTATCGACCGCAACATGCACACCAACTTATATTGTTTTTCTTACATTGGCTATCCGATCGTAATAGCTATTGTTTCAATACAACTATCTCCAATGACAATCGTTTTCGTGGATAATGTTCGATTACCAAGAACGACATGTCTCGAGATCAGGTTAGAAAATGATTGTAACATTAGACGAGTCGTGTGTAAGTCAAATTTTGGACGGATGTAAAAAACCAAAGTATACGCGCGATCTCGCGTCCTACGATCAATAAAAAGCGAAAGGACAGATCATCAAAATCCAAATGCCTCTCGTATTGAGAAATTGTCCTCATCTCGCCAATCGTGGTGATCTCTCATTTATTGAGACCGTCGTGTCTCAAAAGGAAGGATTCGTAAGATGTAGCGAGTGTCATACGGACGGGCCTAATTTATGGTTATGCTTGTTTCCTGATTGTCGTTGGATCGGATGTGCAGAGACGCACTTGGATCATGGCACTGAACATAACCAAAAATTTCCTAATCATTGTGCTCATATGAATCTTTCTACAAATCGTATATGGTGTTACGCTTGCAAAAGAGAAGTTATAACTACATTGTGTGGATGCGCACCTACACAGTCAGATATTAAAGCACAGAGTAATAAGTTTTCCGGTGATGCTCCTTGTAATGTGGATTGCAAGACTGATGACCTTAATAGGCTCATATTGGATAAGTAAATATGACCTTTATCCATAGCTTTTTTGACATACCTTTAACACTTTAAATTTATGAAATATTAATTATTCTTTTTGTTTCACGAATAACAGATTTTATGGTGAACTCATGAACAGAGTTAATAATGAAAAAGATGGGTCATTTCATGAGAAGTCTGGAGATTCTCCAGATAGTACGGATTTGGATGAAAGCAAAGACTTTTCTGGGAAACCAAGAGGGCTTGTTGGCCTTCAAAACATTGGAAATACATGCTACATGAATGCAGCTCTACAAGCTTTATCTAATGTACCTCCTTTGACTCAATTCTTTCTGGATTGTGGTCATATGGTTAGCTATATGTCCAAAGATAGGAAACCTGGTTTAAGCTTAAGCTATCTGAATCTTATTCGAGACATGTGGAATAGGAAAACAAGAGGATATGTTATACCACATGGAATACTGTCTGGCATTAGAACAGTTCATCCCATGTTCAGAGGATACCATCAACACGACACTCAAGAATTTTTAAGGTGTTTTATGGATCAGTTGCATGAAGAATTGAAAGACCATATAGAAGATGATTGTGATAATGCATTAAGATTAACAGGGCTTGGAGAGCAGTCATCAGACGAGGATGAAACTGAAATCGATGGTAACGGTTCTAGCCAGTCTGATGCTGAATACGAAACGTGCGATTCTGGTGTAAGCGAGCAAAGTTCCCTCAGCGATGAAGGTGAACGCGGTATGAAAAGAAGGTACTCTCGGGTGTCTCAGTCGGAAAAACTAAGGAGTAAATTTACAAACAGAAGTATCAAAAAGTCAACTGTGGATCAACCTTTTTCTCCGCCACAAAGGTCGACGCAAAACTCACCCGTTAAGTACAGAACTAAGAAGCAAATGAAAACTAGAAGTATCATTAGCGACATATTTGATGGTAAACTACTAAGTAGCGTGCAATGTCTAACTTGTGATAGAATTTCAACTAGGGTAGAAACTTTTCAAGATTTATCATTACCCATTCCAAGCAGAGATCACATTGATATGTTGCATCAGGGATCTCTCACTCCACAAAAGGCAGGGCCTTGTTCAGATGTTGTGTATGTAACTAATCAATCTGGTTGGTTGTCCTGGTTCTTGCAATGGATGCGTTCATGGTTTTGGGGGCCAGTTGTTAGTCTTCATGACTGCCTCTCTGCATTTTTTAGCGCGGACGAGCTCAAAGGAGACAATATGTATAGTTGTGAAAAATGTAACAAGCTGCGCAATGGAATTAAATTTTCCAAAGTCTTGGAACTACCAGAGATACTCTGTGTTCATTTGAAAAGGTTTCGTCATGAATTAATGTTTAGTTCAAAAATAGCAAATTATGTTTCATTTCCATTAGAAGGATTAGACATGCGACCGTACTTGCACAAAGAATGCGTGTCTAAAGTAACCATGTATGACTTAATATCAGTCATTTGTCATCATGGAACTGCAGGTGGTGGTCATTATACCTGTTACGCATTAAATCCTGTTGTCAATAAATGGTTCGAGTTCGATGATCAGTGCGTTACAGAAGTCTCGCCGGAAACTGTGAAGCATTGCGAGGCTTATGTATTGTTTTACAAAAAATGGTCCCCGGAAATGTTGCAATTACGCGATAAGACTATGGAATTGATGGAAATCTCGTCTCGCGAATTATCTGATTTAAATTTCTTTGTATCTCGACAGTGGATAAATCGTTTTAACACATTCTCAGAGCCAGGACCCATAGACAACTCTGACTTTCTTTGTCCACATGGTGGTGTTAATCCTGTTAGAGCACAATTTGTAGATAAGCTCAGTATGCCCATTCCACAAGCAGTTTGGGAATATTTATACAATACGTAAGTGTTTCTTTTAATAACCACTCTGTTTTGCTTAATTATATTTCATGTTGATCGCGTTGTTTCAGATTCGGAGGAGGTCCAGCATGTACACACTTATACGAATGCCCGATTTGCGAAGAAAAGTACGAATCGTTACAAAAAAGGAGACAATATGAAATGGAAGTATTTCAACGATTAACTCACAATACTGATAATCCAACTGCTATTTATGGATTAGCTATGGCATGGTTGCGACAATGGCAAAGTTTCGTTCGGGGAAAAGAAACACAACCACCTGGACCTATCGATAACAACTCTATTATAGTAAACAAAAATGGTCAGAATGTCCTTAAAGTGGGTGAGTTGCCTATTGAAATATATCGGAGTTCTTAATTATTTTATAGATACACTTGTATGTGTAATTAAATATATTTTATCTAACAAATTATTTATAGGTTCTGATTATGGACAAATACCAGAAGAACTTTGGCAGTTTTTTGTGTCCACGTATGATGGAGGACCAGAATTAATGTTGCATTCATGTCAAAGACCTGTTTCTGCTCAATCAAACGTATCAATACATTCCACATCAAATTCGAATTTGGATCAGACTTTTAAAATCAGTCGCACAGAGGCTAAATCCAATAAGCTGTGTACTACTAGAAGTTCTGAAACGATATCACAACAAGACAGTGCTATCGAAAGTTTAACATCAGATAGTGACTCTCATCAAACGCAAAGGGATGTCAGTGAGTAAAATAATCGCTTTGACATTCCGAAACTGTGTATAAAAATTTGCATTTCCACGTGAACGTTACAGTTACAATTATATAAAAGAATCAATTTTTAACTATCATATTCTAGCTGTGTTACAGATTATCATTAGATTTGTAAAACAGATGTACCTTCTTCAAAGATACCACGTGCACTGTACTATTATTGTACAACAAATAGAATTACTTGTACAATGTTGCGGAACATTGTCGAAAAAATTCAAAGTAATTCCTGTGTATCTTGTGACTTTCGCTAGTTGTGTTTTCTCTTAGCACTATGTGCAATTTAACTGTAAATTTGTGGGTGTTATATGTATTTGGCGGGCAATTACCTAGTACAAAATTCGGTATCAACAATTGTATTATTTAAAGACAAAATATTTGACTATATTCTTAGTCTGCAGTCGGTGACACATTATTAGTCCTCCGACTTTGGTATGAAATTTAACGTTTTTCCCTATCTGGATATTTACTATAATGTTTGTGTGTCATTCCTGCATATAAAAAATGTTAAAACTCTGTCCAAAATTGCATATTTTTCCGATTTACATGCGTTTAATTGTAACAAAAAAAAATGAAACATATATATATATATATATACATATATATGGCTCCAGAAATATATACACATAAATGGAAGACTGAAAAGTAAATCGACTTAATTTAGCAAAAATTTGTCATTGATGCTGGTAAAACATATTGTCTATGATTTAAAACTACAGGAAAACATTATAGAACGATAGTAATATGCTTAAGGTTTGCAATGTAGGGAACTGTAATAGGAAATTCAAAACGTCTACTGTAATCACAATAATGTAATTAACTTATAAATGCATTAAATGTGTACATCCTCGAGGTAGAAGTTAGTGGAAAGAGGGAGAGAGAGAAGCATTTTTCGTTGTGATCTCACGGCCTTGTATTGTTACCAGAATCATTAAATCTAATCGTTGGTGTTTATTTTGTATACGATATATGTACTAACGAAAAACATTCGTATTCTATGCGTGAAACGCTCGTATAATTCACGTCACTATGATTTGCATACACGGACGCAGGGACACAAACGATTGTAAAGTTAATACCGATTATTGATGATCACTGTAAAAAGTAACATACCTAAGATAAATAATAAACGACTTGGTCTCTTTATTTATTAAAATTTACACTGGTCGTTATTCATACCTTTAAATATCGTATCGTAATAAACAATAAAAAGTATTGTATTATAAGTTCATTTAGAATATAAATAATGCTGACGTTATTTTTCAACAGTTTTCTTTCGTATTATGAATTTCTTTTCTCCGACAAATTTATTAATCAAAATATAATCGATAAGTTTTCAGTTAAGCGTCTATTTTTATAATTCAAAACTCGAGGAACGGCGTAAATCGAATAAATTAATGTACATATGGAGAGGATCGAATAATTATGTACATATGAGGAAGAGTTGCATAAATTATTATAATTACTAATAACTGTTTATTTACTTTACACGACCCAAAGGTGTATACAATTTATTAATTAACTTTCTACCATTAATATATCGAAATATTAATGTTAAATGTTAAAAAATATATATTCTTCCGAATCTTCTTTCGACTGAACGTATAATCAATATAACTTTTTGTGACAAAGATCAATCGTCGATACAAGAATTGAAACAGAGAAAGATAAACATTCTCAAAATTACCAGTTTACAAATACCATTTATTTACGAAAGTTTCCGAGTTTCAAAGTCCCGATCACCGGGGCCAATTTCACCCCTTGCAATATATCATCGAGTCCGCCTCGTAGCGACGATTTCGAACTGGCTTCAATAAACCCGAATATTTTTTGTTTCTTTGAATCTTCTCGAATTACATACTATTTCACGGGTATTTCAAACCATTCTAGTTTCCGGAAGATTCTTAACGATAAAGCATAATTCCAGTGTGTTCAGTCGCGAAGTAAATCGTACGTTGACGGGGGTTTCGATCCGTCTCTCACATTCGTGTTTCCTCCGATTCGTTTACATGTATAGGGAGACCCGATTCTCGACTACACTACTAGCCGTGTAGAGAGATGTCTCGTGGACGGACGGCATCGATCGAGGCTTGCGCGTTCCACGGGATGCTGCTGGCCATATTCCTCTGATCTCTCCCGGTCCCTGTGTAACACACTCCATCCCCCTTTAGTCTATGTCGCGATTAAGAGCTGCTCGTGATTAGGGACTCGACGATCGCGGTAGACCGTAGAGGGCCATGCGGTGCCGTAGCCCATGTAGTTAGACGGTTCTATTACAACCCTTTATTTTCAAGTATTTCCGTTCTCCGACCGGACCTACTGCTGCGAGTCCTTTTTAAGTTTAGCCCAACCGTGTCTGTTCGACGGGAACGAAACGGAACGACACCCCACCCCCGCGCTGGAAACAGCCTTCCGCCCGACGGTCTCTTCTTTCGTGTCCACCAGGAACCGCGAAACTGGGAGACGAATTTCATTGTGGTCGTTTGGTAAGTGATTCATCATTAAACAAATCGATCCAATGTTTGATACTCGTGAATGTAAAATGTCGGTGAGTGGTTGATAATGGTTCCCTGGGAGGAACGTAAGAGATTTCTCGGATCGTTGGGACTTACGGACAGTTAAGAGATTCTGGAAGTCTTCGTGCATCGTTTTTTTTAACATTCGGTGGAACTTTTATTCGGTATATTATTTACGGTAAAATTATGTCACATTGTGCGGTCGTTACTGTGAGATTAGTATTTCCTGTACATGCTATCCTTTTATTTTAATTGAATCGACGAGAGGTGATCTTTTGTCGAGTTTATTGATGAATATTCGAAGAAGTAATGAAAAATCGAGTGTCTTTTGTGGTTGCTCGTAATTAATGCAGTCTTATTTTTATTCCAGTTTATCTCGAAATGTGGATACGTAGCTTTTAAATTATCTCCCGTCGAAGTATGTTGTCATGTAGCAGGATTTACAATGAACCAATTTCTTCTGCACATTTTTACCGTTTCCTATTTTATGATTTTGCTTATGCTACGTTAGTGATGTAAATGAAAAGTCTCGTGTATGTAGCATGAGAGGAAATATCGTGTACGAACATCGATAATGGCCACAGACGTTGGGGTCTTACTGTGAAATATTACTCGTCCGCAACAGTTGATTCCCAATAAGCATTCCCGTGTCCAGTTTCTTAAAGCTGAAGACTATCCCCCATGCATCGGAATGTTTAACATCCGATTCTTATCGAAGAAATGCAAATAGTAACATAAATGTTATTCTACTTAATTATTCGATTTCATCTGCGTGTCTCTTTGTCTCATCTCTCTCAATCATTACTTTTGTTTCGTACAGTTTCAAATATATTTTCTCAAGATTCTGGGCCGTGTGATTATCCCCTAAGCCAAACTAACGATTTGGAATTGCTTTCGTTTACATTTTCAAAAGGCAATTGGTGCCTCCGCAAAATTCCGAATCTAATGGTGCACGACAATGAAAATTTCGTTATTTCTAGAGCAACGAAATAAAAAAAAATGGCCAACTTTCGCGGATTCTACATACCATCCTTTGGAGCGACCATCAACGTTGCCTGGGAAACACTGAAGGCGAAATGGCCGGAGAATAGTCCCTGTATGGAACTTATTCGCGGTCCTGGCCAGCAACAGCCTCCGGGACAGAATATCCAAGGGGAATTTAAATCGTTCGACGAGGGTCACGATAACACGGAAATGATGACCATGAACGGAGAACAAGCCTATCGGGACCAGAACAACGTAGCCATCGCCGAGGATTCGTTCAGCTATCAACGAAACGGGTATGCTTCCGTATCGAAATTAATAGCCAGAACGTTGATTTCTGGAAATAATTCTTAACTGGTTAGTGTTACGTTTTAACAATGAAAAAAATTGAATTACACAGTGACAAAATGAGGACAGGAAGCGTCAGTAGCGGTGAATTCAGCGAGTACGACGAGGGTGGCGGCGAATTCGGAACGGGGGTAAAAATTAACGAATGGCAGGCTGCGTGGAATGTTACAAACGCCATACAGGTATTTTCCATTTAACGCGATACTTCCGTTCCCATAGAACGTTAACAGAATTATGGGTGTGAATAGATCTGTTAGTTAGACAGTTACGTTGCCTTAAACAAAAAAGTGAGAGATCACGCGCGATTCAAAAAAGTGGTATTATTTTTCAGCTAGTTTACCCTTGGATCTCTTAGACACGTATTAAAGGATATGCTCCTATCAAAATTAGATTTCTTTGCACAATTGAACCTTTCAACTACAACCAGAAACAAAAAAGACATCACTTGTCCCGATCTCGAGGATCAGTCTGCACATTTCATGAACTGAATATCTCTAATTAACGAACATTATCGTTAACATTACAATCATGCCGGGAGGCTGATCAATCTGCATCTATAATCCCATGCATAACGATACGAACGAGTCGATAAGATTTACTAATCGAACGTTATTCCAGGGTATGTTCATCGTGTCGTTGCCGTTCGCCGTTTTACGAGGCGGTTACTGGGCTATCGCCGCGATGATCGGCATAGCGCATATCTGTTGCTACACCGGCAAGATCCTCGTCGAATGTTTGTACGAGCTGGACACAGTGACGGGTCAACGTGTACGTGTACGGGACTCGTACGTGGCGATCGCGAAAGAATGCTTCGGTCCGACGTGGGGCGCAAGAGTGGTGAACATCGCCCAGATCATCGAGCTCCTGATGACTTGTATATTGTACGTTGTCGTGTGTGGGGACCTAATGATAGGCACGTTCCCGGAGGGTGCGATCGACACCAGAAGTTGGATGATGCTAACCGGTATATTTCTCTTGCCGCTCGGTTTCTTGAAGTCGTTACAGCACGTCTCGGTGCTCAGCTTCTGGTGCACGATGTCCCATCTGTTCATAAACGCGATCATCGTCGGCTACTGTATCCTGGAGATCGGCGACTGGGGCTGGTCGAAGGTAAAATGGACAATGGATATGGAGAATTTCCCGATTTCCCTCGGTGTGATCGTCTTCAGCTACACCTCGCAGATATTTCTGCCGACGTTGGAGGGCAATCTGATCGATCGCTCGAAATTCGACTGGATGATCAATTGGAGTCACATAGCCGCCGCGGCGTTCAAGTCGCTGTTCGGTTGGATCTGTTTTCTGACGTTCCAGAACGACACGCAACAGGTGATCACCAATAATTTACACTCGGCCGGCTTCAAGGGTCTGGTGAACTTCTGTTTGGTTGTGAAGGCTGTCCTGTCCTATCCGTTGCCCTATTACGCGGCCTGCGAGCTCCTCGAGAGAGCGTTTTTCCGTGGCCGACCGAAAACAATATTCCCAACGATATGGACCGTGGACCGTGAGCTGAAAGTCTGGGGTCTCGCGTGGCGGATCGGCGTGATCGTTTTCACGATCCTGATGGCGATCTTCATTCCCCATTTCAGCATTCTGATGGGCTTCATCGGTTCGTTCACGGGCACAATGCTCTCGTTCATATGGCCGTGTTACTTCCATCTGAAGCTGAAGAGAAACTCCATGGAATGGAGCGCGGTAGCGTACGATTGCTTCGTCATATTCCTCGGCGTTCTGTTCGGCGTGATCGGTGTATACGATTCGGGTTCTGCCCTGATTAACGCGTTCGAGATCGGTCTGCCATTCTGAACGATCCTTTTCAGTCCAGCTGCCCCGACTTTCGTTCGCCTTTTACGAAAATTATTCTCTTCCGTTCTAGAACGTAGATCGAATTACAGTTCGCGTCAGCTGCTGACCCATGTGTTTTCTTAACATTCGTACAGTCTCTTCTGAATCACAAGGTAGAAAATAATGCTATATCCGAGATGTTTCCCTTGAACGCGAATAATTTTAGCTTCCGTGGTGTTTCCCTCTTTGCAGTATCCTTTACGAATAATGACCACCGGCAGGGTGCTTCTGAATTCTTTGGCCAACAATTTGCCTGCACACATTCTTACCGATCGCATCGATCAAAAATATTTCCCACGCTACCGACGTGTAGCAGAAAATATCCACGACATAGGGTCCCTCGTTTATTCCGGATAAATGTTCGAAGGTGATCGTTCGATCGGCAGCTATACAAACGTTTCAGGTGTTTCGAGATTGTATATTTATATTCCAACCAGAACTCACACATATCTAGCAGATGAATGTATTTAAGGGGATCGGGAGGGATTGTAGAGCAACACTCTATCCGCGTGCGATCCACGGCTTCGGAATTGTCCTGCGGTCTTAGGTTGTTTTTCCTCGTTTTTCGAATGTTTTTCCGACAAACGGTCGTCGACATCAGGGGCTTCCTTAGGCAACCATCTAGGCTAGCTGACGCGCAGTTTACGTGACAATATCTCCGCCTAGCTGTTAAGTATATTGATGTCTTCCACACGTGACGTTCGGCAAGCGAACAGCACAAGGTAAATTATCATGTACGTACAAGTTGACTACTGTTACACGAGTTTTCGGGATTTTATAATCGCAATTGCGGATCTTGTAATTTCTATCTGCGGGTTGACGGCACGCCGCGTCGAGGAGGCGTTCGTTAATGTTAAGCTTACGATTATATTTATTCGGCTGTCTGTAAAGAAAAGCAACTATGTTTCTTAGAATCGTCACAGAGTCTTAAGTGGCCCGTAGACGGTGAACAATGCTGGGTCTATTGGTCGTGCTTGACAATCCACAGATTTTCATTGTCGCGAGGAAGATTGGAATGAAATTCACCAGACGCGTTTAAAACATTCTTCGACGAGCAGATTCGGATGAACGATATCAAGTTGTTCAGAGTACATAATGCGTTATATATTTCCTCTACGAACTGTGGAATTAATAAGTCTTGATTCGTATTTTTTTTTTTTTTTCATATTCACTAGCACTAATCTGTACCTGGAGACTTACGAATAATTCAGCGTTACAGAATCTAACATGTGTTATCAGTTTTTAAGCACATCTTTATGCACTAAAGATAATAATTGACAAGCAAACTTCACTGTTTATGGACGATTATACCGGCCGATCTGTAATGATTACGCAATACAGAGTCTAACGTCTCCTCGTCGTTGCAAATGAGTGGAAATATGTAGGTGCTGTCCATGGGTTTTGCACTGGGTTCGTATGAAATGAAAATGTTACGTTGGTTGTTCCAAAAATTCTGAACACTGAAACGATGAAAGATCGTCCAGATGTACACAACAGTAGGAATATCACTTCCGGTATCAGTTATGTTTTCTTTTTTCATTAATAGATCTACATTTCCTTCTGGAACGATATAGATTGTTTTCCAAGTCAATCAAAATGACATCTTCTTCGCTTCTCCACGATCTAGAAAAGTGAAAAAAGAGTCACAGGGGGCAAAATTAGATTCGTAGAGGAGTTGGCCGATCGCTGACGCTGTGAAATTCAAAATGGCGCGTCGTCGTGTGTCATATAAAGTTCTTTCCTTCGCCAATGCTTGATTTTCAAATGGCCTCTGCTACTGTCGTTTCCATCTCCGTAATTTTCTTGATATTGTGACATGGAAGTAGACGATTCTTTTCGTATTTCCAATGGCCCTCATATTGAGTGGAGAACAATGTTCCAATGTCGTTCGTTGATTTTTCAACTGATTTTCAATTATTATAAATAGTTACTAGAAGTAAATGTTGCCCAAAGAACATTGTCCATCGATCGCAAAACTTTTGGAACAACTGGTGTCACAATGTTCGCGTAACGTGGAAACGAAAAACAACATGGTAGCATGTACTTTTAACTCTGGACAGCACAAATGTAATCAGTTATGTACGGACGAGTACAATTAGTTATATAATCCAACGTCTTCCGAGGCCTGTACACAGGTCATAATAGATCACACATTAGTGTAAGCAATATGAATGTAGCCAATGCAAGTAGTTCGGTGAAAGCTGCGAGATGCTCTTTCTCCACGTTTTATTGTACTAGTTGTACTATAGTTCAGTCCTGATAGGTAATCAAGAATTGTTTCTGTCGGTACTAAAGTAGGAAAAGTAGAAACATCTGTTGTCGTCAGATCTATCTCATACAAGATAAGTGTCAGTGTTAGATTTTCGTGATAAATTGGCAGAAGTAGAAATAAAAACAAGAAAAAAATAGAAGATGAGCAAATAATATTAATATCGTAAATAATAATACTAACAATAATAATAATAATAATTAGAATAAAAGTAATAAGAAAAATGTGTAGTATTAATATTATTTGCTAATCGGATCTCTATTATCGATTAGGTACAGTGCCTAAGGTCCACGGAATATCCATTTCATTAATTCTTGTGTCCATTTGTTTTTAAATTAAATGGAAGCATAAATTAATCAGATGGATATATAAGAAAACGAACATGTAAATCGTTATTTATGATTTTGTCCATGTAATAAGATTTCCGGTATCAATTGTACGATCGACAATAGATGACACTTTCGATCGGAGTATAAGATATAATGTTTCTAAACAGAATTTTATCGAGGATAAGAGAAAAACGAAGTGAAGAACATCTCGCAGCAGCAGAAACGTGTTAGTTAAAGGAGATACGATGATATTTATGAAACGAGTCTTCCAATGATGTCTTCCAGAACGATAATAATAATTAATGTAATACGATCTATTGATCGAAGGAAAATCTTTGTCAATGATATTACACGTTATATTGAGAGTTATAGGAGTTAAGCGTTAACTGTTAAGCCAATGATCAAATTTAACGTATAAGTAAAAAAATGTACATCGCTGTTCGTCATTTAACTAGTTTCATCATTTCTCACGGAATCATTTTCTCTTTCGACATCGAGATGGATGGTTGGTAAATGAACCGTAATATTGCCTTATCATTTTTGAAAGATCAACGTCGCAACATCGATCTTTTATTTATGTTATAAATCACGTACTTTTATTGTAATTGTCGACCAAAGAAATAGATTACAAATAACGTTAACATACATACAATGTTAAATAGTTTTAATAGATTCTAAAATTTGTTTGCCCTACACGTTCGAATATCTGATCGGTCGAATTTAAAATTTCGAATAGCCTGAGTATCTACAAACTGTGTTTAGAAATGCAACTGCTTTCTTTCGAAATTATTAGGATCTTCAGATGAAGATCAGCGTTGACAGAGTTATAAATTGAAATCTAAGGAGCTACTCATTTGTTAATAATCCTACATAACTTCAATCGTTGATCCATCAGCAAATTTTATCTTATTATATTCTTGTATTACTAAGCGGAGTACTATGGCCTGTGAACAACAGATCACGATATATGAAATGTCAATATTTTCTAGCAAAATTCCAGCGAAAATATTTGAATTTTTCTCTTCTTTCTACATTATTACATATTTTACATTTTTTTTATCGACCAGTTAACAATCGTAATAAAACATATCTAGCAGGCCTAGCGACACTTACTATGAATGGATTTTCCACACGTTGTTACTTAACGCGAGGTTGGTTCGAAAAACGATGATCATTCAAGAAAACGTGAGAATAAATAAAAATTATACTTTGTTATACTCACGAATAACGCCTTGAAGACGGCTTAAAGGCGTCATGTGCTATCTTGGAAGTCACAAGTTTCGATATCTGATTGGCAGGTATCCAATGAATTTCTTTATTAATTAATTCTTAATTCATTTTCAGTCACCGATCAGATCTTACAATAGTATTCCATAAAGTGCAATCGTTATATACTTTCGATCGCGAAAATAACATTTACTTTGTCGAGAAAGCTATATCAAATTGACGAAATAACGGATTCACCGAGAAACATTCAAGAATAAGAGAAATCGGAGCAATGACCAAGGATCAAGCGATCGAGGGAATCGGCGGTCAAGCGTGATAGATCTTTGTATAGTTTCGCGGACGCTTCGAGTGGAGTGATTCGTGTATTTGTTTAAATTCCCATCGTCGATAGCTGTCAATTGTATAAAGGCGTGCGTATCGTTACCATAATTGTTAATTTACCACATGATCCTCACTGATCGTCATGCACCTGTGTCACATTCAACGGAGGTATTCGTGTGCTCCGAGAACTGATCACATTAGATCTAATGCGCTTCCACGGGAGCGCGATGCTTTCGTGGCGTTTCGTGGAGAACCTCATTAATGTTGTAGTTAAATATGAAACGTATAGGCGTTACAGAACAATGTAAAATGGGCTTCCACATATACATACATATATGTATATAAATATATAAATTATGAAAAACGAAAATACATTATCAAAATTTTACACGCGTGCGGATTCACTTGCTACCCCGATCACAAAGCATGCTAAAGAACGACATACATTTATTATTTCATTACTACACGTCGTCTGTAACATATTTAATAATTAACATTTTCTGGTAATTCTGTTGGAATTTATGAACCTACATGAGATATAATCATAGGCATATAAAATAACATGTTCAATATCATTTGAAAAGTGCCCAGGTCTGGTTACAGACCTGTCTATAGGAACGTAGATTCAGAATCGTGTTTCTTAATTGTCGTTATCGATATCTTAAATAATAATTTAATTATATATATATTACTACGGAATCTTCGAATATCGTTCACTGTGGAACGTTTTCACTGTCATTTTCAAGAGTACTAAGTGACTTTCTCTAGACGGAAATGTATCGAAGAACCGCAAGATCCGTTATGCTCTATATACTGTTTATTGATACTTAAAGGGTTCGTGCTATTCGAAAACGGCATTGCATTTACACCGATCACGATGAGATTATTGGTGAGTTCGTCACCTGTTGATGTCTATCGTAATTACAGAGTTAAGAAATGTTTCTTTCAACTTATTAATTTTCGTTTTTACAGAAAATCGTCTATTTACTTCAATTTCTTGTTTTGGCAATGTTTATAAACGCAGAACAGAATATAGACATGAAATTCATGCAGAAGGATATCGCAGAAAATGGTAATATCGATACAGCATAATATTTTTATTAATTATTGCGAATAAATATATCTTATTCGATGTTTTAGAACCCAAAATCATAGTAGACTGTGTCTCTACCCACATAGTTGTTGTATTCAAATTTATTTTACCTGATCATATTGTTTCTTCGAATAATTTCGGTTACGATAAATTTTATGTCTTCAACATTAATCTATGTTTATCGCTGTTGCAGATTATCTTCTCTGTCTTTAAAGGAATTTAAAAATATTGACTAAATTAGTAGGAAATTTATCATTTGCAATGATGAATTACGTATACTTTGTATAGATCAGCGTGTTACTTAATATCTTGCTTAATTCTTGTAATATTTATGAACGGATGTAAATTAATGACTTTCAATAAGCTTGAATTTTCTTTTCAGATGAAGTGCCTCGCGTAAAGATAAAGGTGTTTCGAAGCCCAAGCAAAGAACATAATGGAAAGGAATTTACTACTTGGGGATTTTGGATAAGACAACCAGCCGAGATAGATCGGTCTCATTAACAGATTATTACCAGTGATTATTAACTGTATGATTATAATGAATGCAATTAACTCCTTCAAATGGAAATCTGTAAAATACGATTACTGAAAGTTATAGAAATACTAAAGCAAAACAATTACAAATAGATCTTATATATTTTATAACAAATTTAATTACATATTTAAATCGTTTTGGATATTTTTTGATATTTTTGAAAAAGGCAGCACTTGAATTCAAACTGTAATTTACAAAATATAATATTGTACCACTTTAGTAAATCTGTAAAATTAATAACACACATTATCGATTTCATTCAACTGAATAAATGAAATATCTGTGTGTCTAAAATAAAATTTATTAAAATTAAAAAGTAAAAACAAATTATAAGTTATATATTATCTAAGTTCAATTTATATTCAAATAATTAGTATCACAGTTATATCTAATGAAGATTATTTGAAATAGAACACACATCTTTTTAACATATAATATTTATTTCAAATAACATTAAAAAAATTCTCCTACTATTGATATACGTTGTAGAAACGATTGAGATTGGCAAGATAACATCTGGTAATTTAATCTTGCGGTAACGTTTGTAGGATATAAATTTCCCTTTCTAATATTTTCTAATAGTATTTGCGGTTCAAATCTTGTTATTCTTGTATTAGTTTGTTTAATAAATGACTCTGTGTTATTTCCTATAACAGGCGTAGAATAATGTTCCTCAGATGTGGATGGTGCTTCGAAAATATCAATATTTTCACTATCATCAACTTTATAAATTACTGAGGGAGGCGCGACAACTTGTACTTTCAACGACTCAGCGTTTGGACTGTCTGTACTTAATTTATCTTCTTCTTCAGTTGTTATAATTTCGTCAGTCTTATAATTTACGGGAGGCATAGGATTGATCGAGTCCTTATTAATATGGTTCTCTACATCACTAGTAAAACTATGTCTAATTTCAGATAATTTTACAATTTCAATTGGTTGTTTATCATCATCTTTTCCTTTGGTGTCTTCTTCCTGTGGTATATTTTGCTCTGTACTTTCCTCCTCTTTTTGATTACTTACTGGAATAAATTTCCATAATGTCGCTTTTTGCTCTGAAAACAAATTCTGACTTCGATGACAACAATATAGTGCTCCAGGATCTATAGGGTGTGCTTCTGTATTGAAAATATATCCTCCTGCATCTACAACACATTGACCCCATTGAGTTTGAATAACATCTCCTTTCTGGCCAGAATTGTGAATAAAATTATCAGGATCAAAGAGAAGATAAAGATATTTTGTTGTCTCTGCTAAGAAAAAGGACTCCATTCTATCTGCCTTACGGTGATCCCTAACATCATTTATAGTTGCATAGCCACATGTAGTTTTAGCACTGTGTTGTAAACTTCTTAATATGTCCACTCCTACTTGTATCAAATATGGATCACCTGTTGCTCTATACAAGTACATCACTGATTCTATGAGTTCTGGTCTTAATGGATACCCTTCTCTGTTAGTGCCTGCTTCAGCTTGCGGAATGTTATAAAACTCTGGAGTAAATCCAAATTGTTTCCAGACACGATGATAATTATGCAACGATTTCATAGCATCTCCAATTTCACCAAAGAGGCTCAGTACTCCAGGCCAATAAGCATCCAAAGACTGAAACACTGGTAAAGTTACTTGACCTTTTGTCATAGAAACCCATAAATGCCAATCTGCTCGACGAATATATTTCTCAATGGCTGCTTTATGTTCATGGAAAATGGTAGCCAGCAATGGATCTTGAAATAATAAGGTACCTTTTGCTAAATATTCAAAATAAGAATCAACACCTGCACCGATTCCCGAGTCTTGAGCTGTCCAATGACCTGTTAATACATCTACATGGTTACCGACCAGTCCAATATTTGATTTATAATAATGCAATGCTTTAACAGCATTCATGGCAACCTCTTCATACAATGGGTCTCCAGTTAATCTGGACAAGGTTCCAAATTCAAGTAGAAATGTACCTATGCCATGCTGCAATCAATCTTTTTGCCATATCTTCCGCGAGGCGTAACAAGGGACCATTACAAGGCCATCCTGGCTCCAGATTCACACCTGCTTTACGTGACAGTAGATGAGCACTGAGTAAGCCTCCAACTACTCGGATGTTAGTTTCAAATACAGATACGTTTATGTTGGCTTCAAAGTTTGCCCTGGTACTTATAATCTCTGCTACACGTCGAAATTCGGAAAAGTTTCCCATTACGGCAAGAGTGTCCAAAGCATCGATGAGTGTCAATGAGAAACTACCCCATGTATCAAATCCATCGCAACTTAACGATCGGAGCTCGTCGTAAGGATATGCGTACGTTAAGTAACTTGAATAAGCATGATCAAACATGGATCGTACTTCTTCCCTTAAAGCAATGAGATCTTTTTTCTCATACTCACGTACTCCATTCACTGAAGATAAAAGGCCGAAAAGTAACCCTACACTGAGTAGTGACATCCCGAAAATGTCTTTATAAATACTGTTATCTTTTGCATGAATTATATTATAAATGTACTTGTAAAGTAAAATGGATTCATTTGAAACGTAACATTACTTAATGATAGTATCAAGTCTCTTACGAACTGAAAATTGTTTCGGTACACTACGTGACTCATTCTTATTCGTTGTATTTGACGTTATTTGGATCATTTTGCATTATGATGGAATATTTGAATGTATGTATGTCAATGTACATATGTCAAATAATATGTATGTAAAACATACTGTGCAAATGTGGCTATGTATTATATGACAATACTGAAATCCAAAGTCAATGCATTAGATACAGCTTTTAATATTGTTGCAACTATTGTTTTTGTTAAGTATATTTTTATCTTTAAATAATAATATAAAAAGATTATATTTTAACGATTAAAAAGTTTAGAATTATTTAATACTTGTAATTTTTATGTAATTTTTTCATACAATATTGTAAATAATCATTGCTAATCACATATTTGTCGATTTAATAAATTTTAAGTTCAATTTGAAATAAAGCATAATATAAGATCGATTGAGTTATGTTATAGTAACAAAAAAAATTATTGTGATAAAATTAGGCAAATTTCTTTCAAATATTTTTCTAATCACTTCAGGAAAAATGGAAAGTCTACAAAATATAAATAATAACCAATGAAAACTGTTATTCGAAAATTATTATCATTGGATTGGTTGTGTAGTAGTGATAGCACCGTGGACTCTGTTGAACAGGGTCCAAATTTTAATGATACGGTAGTGGTAGTGTCGACAAGGAATGGGAATGGATTGATACATATTGATATCAAATCAGTTATGTTGAATGCAAGGCATATTCATTGTACCAGATTTTACTAGTAAATACCTGTAAATTAGAGACAATCAAAGACAATCGTGACGCTTTAATTGTCACGGTTATTATGGGGAATCGGTTGTACGCTTCTCAGTTTCAGCAATGACGTGAAAATTAGTAAACGTATCATGAATGCTTATCGTACTTCGTGTTTTTTGACTCTTTGAAAATATTGTGACATAAAAAAGATTTTATGTGTCATCATTGGTTATATATTATGGGAGCAACATTTTCTTCAGACACACTAATAAAAGTATACGGAAAATTATCTTCCGTTCATTTAAACACGTCCACTTATCGGGCAAAATTAAAAATTAATTGTCATACTGTGGGGCTGCGATAGCAATTGACAAAAATGAAATTAAATGAGTTGGTACACTGGTAAGAAACTTTATAATTTAAAGTTAAATTACAAAAGGAATTCTGTAAATTAAAACATATTTAGTGTAATCATTGATTTTCCTGTTTCAGGTATCAGAAGAAAATTGGTACTTATGACAAGCAACAATGGGAGAAAACTATAGAACAACACATTCTTGGAGGATTTACACATGTCCCAATGAGAACTGCAAAACTGAAAACCGAACTGATTGATGTGGATCTTGTAAGAGGTAAATTCTTAAGCATGAATCTTAAACACAAATTGTAGGTAATTATGTTTATTCCTATTTTCATAGTCCATTTTATAGAAGTTACACTCACAGAAAATTCGTTTGATTTAACAGGAGATTTATTAAGTTAAAAAGGGCACAAAGATATTCTTAATCCTTGTCACAGTTTTGATATTAATGCATAAAGTTTTCAGTCTTATGAATTTTTTAATCTTCTGTGGAATAAGTCAGGTATTTGAACAAATAATCATTAAATATTGGATTTGTATGTAAGTAATTTTCTTATAGGTTCTTCTTTCCCAAAAACCAAGCCAAAACATGGATTATCAACAGTAGCTTGCTTGGCGCTTCAAAGGCTATTATTTCTTCCTGTATATAGGAGATGGTGGATGCAACAGACTAGTTCAAAAATTTTTACATTATTTTTACTACTGTATAGTTTACAGTTGATCAATATGTGTATATATTTTTATCAGATAACAAAGAATAATGAAAGTGATGTATGAAATCATTTTGTTTATACAAGAACTGTGTATAAACATTTAATAAACAAGATTCATTTCATTGCAGATAGTGACAATGTCAGAAGTATTAATACCTACTATTATGATGTTTATTTTGTGCATTGTTCATTCCCATATTGTATCAACTCATTCTGGTCCAACAATAACTGATGGACATAGCAAACAGAGAGTATTTCGGCGTTCTAGACACACGAGATGTAGATTGGGAAAATCAAGAACAAGACAAAGTTTACGTAAGTTTTGTTTTTTTGAGATCATAAAACTTTCTGAATAGTTAGTAATTTGTTATATGTTTCATAGGTTTGCATGAAGATTCCAAATCATCTCAAGATACTGCTTCTGAGAAAGCTAGTACATTAAGTGGAGAAGTATTAACTTCTGTGCGATTTGCTAAGAAAGTTGAAATTGAAAATTCTGTGCCTGTTAGTCAGTCTAAGGTAATTGTAATTCATTAATTCAAAATTACGCAAGTCTCAGACTCTCAAGTTATTTATACAATAGTTTATTTTGATAGGAATTCATAAATGCTCAAGTATCCAGTAATAAAGAGCTAATGATTGCAAATCCTATTCCTGCGAATGAAGCTTCAACTAGTCATATTCAATCAAGTTAGTCCATTATAATACTGTACATATATTTTTAATCTTAATCATACGTTTATAGTTACATGTATCTTTATAGATGATGTTCCAGATGTAAGAAATGTGCATCTAGATGATGATGGATTTGAAAGTTTAAATGGAAATGTATCAAGCGATAATGATAAAGGAGTTGCACGAGCTTTAGTAGACAAGCTTCAACAGAAGAGAGGTCCATTACACGAAAGTAATGATGATTCTGCTGGTCGACAAATATTATTGCAACCTAAATTTTCAGGTTTGACATGCAATAATTTTTATTCAAATATTAGAAGTCATAAAATATATTATATTTTATTGTAGAGTAATATGTATTTATATTTCAATAATATTTCAATAATATTTTTAATTAAAACTGTAGGATTAATTTTTTTATTTATGATATATATTTGCTTTGAACTGCTAACATTAATCTTTGTTGAAAAGGTAAAATGATGAATTAGCTAAATCATTGTGTTCCACTTTGTACGCAGCACTTGAGTTACCCAAGCTGGAAGACAGTTCTTTGAAAAGTGAAGGAGAAGGTTTCAGTAAAATGGTAAGTAGTTCAAGTTCCATTAAAATGTTATTTCTTCTACCATGACCATTAAATTGCATAAGGAAAGTATAAAAGATTGCACGTATTACTTTATGGATGACTTGTAAAAATCTTATTTAATATATTATACATTGAGATAAGTTAAATTACACCAATTTTAAATTTATGCACCATAATTTATAATTTCTGTTATGTACAACAGTAATTGTAATTTGAATCAGAAGTGTGTAAGTAATCTCGAAACATATCAATGTACGACTATTTGAATAAACTTATAACAATTGAATAACTTTCTGAAATAATTCATACACATATCCCTAATTTTTGTGTAATTTTTTAAGCGGTTTTATATACATATTCAACGTTCACGGATTACTCTTATGAAACCCGCGGTCAGGTTTGCGACGCAGAAAACGATGTAAGCTTCACGTGAAAAATTATTTTTTTTTTTACTACATAACAAGTATTTATATTTTGCGAAATACTTTCAAAATGTTTGTTCATTAAAGAATTCTGAATTTTTTTTATAATGTTATATTTCATCATGTGGGGTAATTAAGTAAGTTTCATAAATACTTATTCACTTTCTAAAAAAACACATCACACGCATATGCTAAGATGCAGTTGAAAAATTTTGAGAATTACTTTTTAAAGGACCAGGAGCACTCTCCTATGGTAATTGGATCAAGAGATGGTCGACAGCAGTGTGAAAGTGAGGAAGAGGGAGAATGCGAAGAAGCTGCTACAAATCATTTAACAGAAGCTACAACATCTGCTACCGAATGGATGGGAGTGACTACAAATAGCGATGAATGTAGCTATAGGTACAATATTAGACATTATTCTATTTAGAATCAATTTCTTGCCATTTGGAAGTCAGATTTTTATTTCACACCGAATGTCCATTATCTTCCGTATAATGAAATTATATAGGCAGTAGTAATATCACAATACAATCAACTTGTATCACTTATATATTGAATGGAATGAATCTCTATGAATGAACATTTTTGCAGTTCAGAACTTGAGGAGTCTGATTTGCATAGTGAGACTAACAAAAATTATGGAGAATTTGTAGAGCATCCCTTTTCATGGGAGTTCGAATTACCGCCTTCCATAATGCTTAGTTCTAGTTGCGCTTCTTATGATCGTGGTAATGTATACAACAATAATAAATCGCAAATTATCACTTTTAATTTGTACTTATCTCGTTAACGCAGAATAACGAACTCTTTGTTCTCGGTTGTTATTCTAATAGTACTCAAATTTCTAATTTCAGTTTCGTGTACTATATGGACAAGGCGTGATATAAAAAAAGCTGAACTATCAGTCTTAGACATTAGTTCAGCGATTATTGGTAGAGTAGAGTCCATGCCTGAGAGTTTGAATTATTTTTATGGAGGGCTAATGCTCAGCGTAGCATTATCGTTAATACCATCCATTAACCGACTGAGTGATCATGTGGGAATGGATAATAGTAGTAATGTAACTAGTTCCTTGATACCAAATGATTTGACTTCTGTCAATTTGGATACATACAGTGATATTTTATGTAAAGTGATAGACTTGACATTTGGAATAACTCCCTGGTAAGTGCGTCTTCCTTATTGAATGATAAAATTCTAGTTTACGATATAATACATAAAATAATGCTAATATAAATTAAGAAAGCATTTGCTATGATAGCAATAATGTTTTATTCAGGAAATTGATAAATGGTTAACTTGATTTCAGGGAACGAATTGTAGTGCTTATATCAGCATTCGAGAGGCTCATATTGTCTTCAATATTATTTTTCTTATTAGCAGTCGCAGAACGTACTTATAAACAGAGGCTCTTATATGCCAAATTGTTTTCACATCTGACGTCTTCGAGACGTGCACGAAAATCGGATTTACCACACTTCCGGTTGAATAAAGTGCGAAACATTAAATTGTGGTTGAGCGTTAGGTCCTATTTAAAAGTAGGTTAACAACATTATATTATCATTTTTTTAAATGTATTGTACATGTAATTGATTGAAACAAATATTATTGTCCATTACAGAGGAGAGGTCCACAACGTTCTGTGGACGTAATAGTATCAGCAGTATTTATAGTTACATTATTATTGTTGTCGTTTGTGAGTTTGGAGTTAATTAAGGTAAAAAGTAAATGAAAGATTAAAGAGTAGTAATATGAGAAGAAGAACATTATAAATATTACAAATTTGCAGGATCTAGAAAGTTTGCATTCCCGATATAACGTCGAAGCATTATTTTGGAGCTTTTCTCTTGGGATATTTATATTACGTTTTATGACGCTGGGCACGAAAATTAACAAAAAATATAGAAATCTCTCCGTCTTAATAACTGAACAGGTAATTACGGTAATGCAAATATCATGTTAAAAATGTGCAACATACTATTTATATTTTATAAATCAAAGTATGTTTTCATTGCTGTGTTTAGATAAATTTATATTTACAAATAGAACAAAAACCGCATAAAAAAGATGAGCTTATGGTAGCGAATAATGTACTCAAATTGGCAGCTGATTTGATAAAGGTAATGCAACTAATTAGTTTTTTATTATCGAGTATTAGGCTGCGGGTGTTTATGCAAATTCAGATTGTTATAGATTAATTTATAAAAATAAAAACTAAATCGAAATTTACGTCATCGATTAATCATTTTGTAATTAAACAATAAAAATAAAACCTGTGTTTATTAAAACGTTCACTTAACTGAATTCTACTCAATTGCATTTACTGTAAGTGCATAACATCCGTAACCTACTGAGAATGTTCGTGAATATTTTCAGAGTCAGGTTATTAATATTATTTACAGGAACTCGAAAGTCCATTTAAAATTTCTGGTTTATCCGCCAATCCGTATCTGTATACAATCACAAAGGTAGTACTATTATCTGCTCTTTCAGGAGTGCTTTCAGAATTACTTGGGTTTAAACTCAAGTTACATAAGATAAAAATCAAATAAGAAAAAGGTGATACTATATTAAATATTACTTTTCGTGTAACTACCTCAGAAATGTTAAATAATTAACAAAGAGAATTCGATTACGTTATCGAATATTCAAAGGTTCTATAATATCGTTCAATGTGAACCAATAAATGAATGTTTAATTTTGTAATAGCTTACCTCATTATGTTATATAGCACTGTTATTTCTTCTAATTGTTAGAGGCTTTATGTTTTAGTTAGAAATTTCACGCATTATAGTGAAAAATGGAACTAGTAAATTATTTTATCATAGTAAGAAGTAATATTATTTTTATTGGGTAATATCATTTTAACAATCCCATGTTATTTCATTATCTCTAAAATATTAGAAATAAGTGACAGTTTCAATGTCAACATACATTTCACAAGTGAGAAAAATTAGTAAGAAAATGTAGATTCTTATTATTTTTTAAATATTAAAATATATTGTACTAGTAGGAACATCTAGAAATGACTGTAAATGATTATGAATCAATTAGATATTTAATTCTTGGTGCTCTGTACAGTTGTAATGTTTAAATACTGTGCGATTGTTACAGTGTAAATACTTATACAGTAAACAGTGCTTTGAATCAAATACACAAAGTATATAAGAGCTGATAGTTATAAGTGTGTACACATATGAATCATTGAAAAGTTACGAATGTTACAAATTGCATGTAAATTACAACAATTTTGATAAGCTAAATTCTCCTAATACACTTGCTAATAAAAATTGAAAACTGTGTGCAATACTTGTGATTATCTTTTAGATGGGTTCAAACAATTTCTATACAAATAGAGTATTATAAAATATATGAGAATAGTACCTGTGCAAGAATTCACATAACTATATCTAAGTTATTTTTAACATGACTTTAAGTGTACCCGTGTGTGTTAATAAATTGAAAAATTAATGAAATATACATTTATTTGTAATGCAAACTAATGTCATTTTTATTAGAGGTAATTATTAAAGTGTGAGTATATGTAAATATATACAAATCATATTTTCATAGAGTATTTTATACAAATCATATTCATGATTTTAGTACTCTGAAATACGAAATCAGATTTAGTGAGTGAAATAGTTCTGAAAACGAAAGAAATATGAACGAAATATAAGTAGTCTTTTTGTTAAGAATGTAAACAACATTTCGTTTTACATTAATTTGTCAGGTTCCATTCTAGCTTACTTCAGGGTAGGTTCACTTAGGTTCACTCCTATAAGAGAACCAAGCGAATGCAAGTGTAAGATAGTGTAAGGGAACTGTTAGTGTTATATAGATCTATTAGACCGCCATTGAACCCATGAACCTAGGAATTAGAAGACGGAGAATAAGGTCCCATTCTTATGTCCATGACTGAACCATAAGACTGTAGTGTCCTCGCTTCGTGGCAAAATTCGAAAGTACACTTGGCGTCTTTAAGGGATCGCCCTCACCACGTTTTAAAAACAGGTTTCTGTCATGCAACTACATAATCCAATATGATTTTCATGCATGTCGAATGAACCGCTAAATTTTCGTAGCAAATATGTATGAATATGTATGCAATGTAAAGAGCAACATTGCGCTTTCTTATCAGAATATTATATTATTTTTACGTTATCGATGAAAATCAAATACTACAGAAATCATCGGTAGAGAATAAAATTGTTTATTGTCAAGATCTGTCATACTACTGAATTGTTGTATTGTCAGAATCTGTCATACTACTGAATTGTAAGATTTGTGGTGACCGCGAATGGCAGGTAGGTGTATTCTCAGATTGTAAATATTAATATGAATTATGTGAATGATGTGATTATTAAAAAATGAAAAAATAAGTTAATAGAAAAGTTTCATTTCCAGTTAACTTAACATATTTATATTGAGCAGTGTAATTGCATCAACATGTTTAAGCGAATAGAAACTAACAGAGAAAATGAGTATTCTGTGCCAGCTAAACGGCCAAAATATGATACGAAAAAAGTGACTGTGGCTGGTGTTCCTACAAATAATAAACAGACAACGAATAAAAAGTTAGGAAAGTCTGATGATGTATGGGGTGATGATTTTTTAGAAGAAGATATAGAAGAGATGGATTTCGTTGCAACTCAAGCTTGTTTACAGGTTTTATTTTGTTTCTTAGATGTATGGACTTAATTTTACTGTGCTATCCTTAATTAATGATTCTATCCTTTCATCATTTTTAGGAAGAAGTTGCTTTAACTCAACCATATACAGAACAAAATGTATCGTTTATGCAAAGATTCAATAGCCTGCCATCTACAAGTAAATGTATTTCTAATGGGAATGTCACAAACAAAACGGCAAAGCCTTCTATATATATGACACAATGTAATAATCAAAGAAGAGAAGTGGAAAGAACAATGGAAACAAGCAACATAGTGTCTGTTGATTACAAGGACTTTGAAGATAAATTAATAAATAAACAAGTTTATAATTCAACATTTAAGTTGCAGGAAAATGTAGTTTTCCCAGGTAAAGATGTAAGATATTACTTCTTAAGGGACTATACAAATTGTCAATATTAATTTAATGTATAATCTGTAATTACAGAATCAAAATACATACAGGAATTGGAAAAATTGAAATTTGAAAATAAAAAATTATTAAACGATTTTATCACCAAAGACGGAGAAGCTGTTTTTTTACGTAATCAATTGCAACAGACTCAGTTAAGAGCGAAGACCGATAAATTGGAGAAGACCCGATTTATCGAGGAACAAGAAAATCGTCACAGAACAGAAATGAATAGCATTTGCAAAGAAAAAGAACAGTTAAAGACCCAACTTGAATTACAAGTCAGTATTCTTTTACTTTCTCAATATAATGATCTTTGAAATTTTGCCCAATTTGTTACAATTCTATTTTTGTCCAACAGACATTCGAAGTAGGCAATCTAATGGAGCGTTGTAAATTATTAGAGACTGGAAATGTTAAATTAAAAGAACCACATACTGTAAATGTAAATTTTTCTATGAATAAAAGCAGATTTAATTCACCTATGAATAGGTAACTGATAAAAGTATTTAAGAAGATTAATTTTCAATTTTGAAGTTTTCATGTAATGACATTATTAATTCCAGGACATCAATTTCAACAGTGAAATCAGTGAAAGTAAGGGAAACTTGTATTCAAGCAACTATACGTGACAGAAATAGTTATTTCCTCAAAACTTGGAGTCCATGTAAGGAGACAGCAATTAAACAAAATATTGGCTTGTGGAATGTTAAAATACTAAGTGTATACATATTTTTTGCAGATTATCCTTTTGCAAACATTCCCAAGTTAATATATGACACGCCACAGCAAGAGAAATCCATAGTCGACATTCAAGTAATAGAAAAAACTGGACGAAGAAATTTGCCAATTTTGCAGGAAGAAAATACATTTCGAATATTTGGTAAGAATTTAATATACTTAAAGCTGTACTGCATTTTTGCAAACAATTCTGTTGATATTTTACATTTTCCGTTACAGAAAACCCGGAACTGGTGAAACCCGTAACAACCATGATAGACGACAAGCGATTAACGGTGGAATTTATTTTACCAGAAATAGCAGCCCTTCAGCGTAAGACGGACTCTGAGCTTGAGTCAGAAAATTCGATATGGACAATGAATAAAGTGAGTCATTCTATTTTCTGCAAGTATTGATCGATTTCTTTGTAACTGGTTCAGTATTCTGGTCTACAGTCGTTTTCTGTGACTTTCCGTTCACGTCATATTGGTTATCATACCCTAACAGAACACATTATAAACATTTAGAGTGTTAACATTTTAATTAACACGTTCACCGCGAAGCTTATTTCGACTGAGTTTCCTCCCTTCACGCCGATTGTATTATTTGACATTTGAATTTGTGTTACGCAACGGTCATCGGTGGACCGGCACGGCGTGAACGGAATGTTTTTTGTCGGTCACCGGTGACCGACCACGCGGTGGTGAATCTATTAATGAAATAGCATGAAGTACAACTTAAGCAAATACTGTTATTATATAAGTAGAATTAATCGTGGACCACCGAGCATAGAACGTGTTAAAAGTATTAATATTAATTATTATGTTTTAGTTGGTTTCTACCGCGAGGGAGTTGATCTTGAACATGATCATTGTTCTCCGGACAATTTTCCAAGCCATGAGAAACGACGATATTCGCGATATGAATGATATTTATTTTTCTGACCTGTATTCGAATTCTGATCTCAATGGGAAATGCGTGTGCGACTCTAATGCGTGGCACGAGTGCGAGCGTGGTGTCGAGACCAGAAGAGTATTTGGCGTGATTTCGTACGTGACCCTCGAATCGACATACCTTAGCAAATACATCGCCGGAAAAACGCCGTTGCTCACCGAAACGGATGAAAGTTATAAAATTTATTCACGTCAGATGGTTCGTTATAATATGTGGCCAGAAAAGGGTCAGGACTTTGAGATGCTTAAGATGATCTTGCAGTTCGTCATTTTAGTTGGATCCACGGTAATCGTAGTTTTCTAAAGTTTTCCAAACTATAGGTCACGCAGAACAATTCGGCAATCTCTAGATAGACAATGAAGGATTTTTCAGTAAACTTCCGGTTAATATTTACGAATTACTAATTGGTATTACCTGTATAGAAACCTTATAAACCATTTATTAATGTTTTTCGAAAATGTCTCATCATTTTGAACAGCGTATACAGATTTAATCGCTGCGATAGTTTTGTTAACATTAGAGTTTTATTCCTTTCAGAGAAGAGCCCATCAATTTAGCGGTCTTATGTGTGCAATCATGATGATTATATGTAATGTCCATAAAAAAGTTGAATATTGTTCTTTGGGGTAGGTGAGAAATGTTTTTTTTTTTGTAAGTGAATTACTTTAGAATTTACGGTTTCACATCGTATCTTATGTTCCAGGATGGATTATATTTATCAGATATTTATAGAAATAGTGTTTTCAAGACCTTTACCGTATTGTTATTCGTTACTCAGTGATATGATGATGATATTTATAAAGACTGTGACGTATTTGAAAAAGCTTTGTGTTAATTCGCGTACGTAATTTTTCGTGCTAATAGAAATCATTTGTAAGAATCTTGTAATTTCGGTATAGGTTTAAATGTTCTTTAATGTTTTTACTGTTTCGTATGAAATCGTATCGAACCAAAGTGTCATTTTTACAGAGTCGATGGCGGTAAACAATTGGAAAGGCTCGCTACATTTTACACCAGGTATAAACAGTCTTTCATCATCACAAACATATTTCTAATTACTAATTAGACATTGGTTTTACAAGAAATCAAACTATTGAATGGCTTTAACAACTTTTATGTGCATTTTGAATTTATAGTTATACTTGAAAATGTATGTATTTAATTTCAGATGCTTGCCCATTACAAATTTTCTTGGCACAGATGGAGAACCACCGTTTCGACACAATAGTTGCCGTAGATATTACAAACGCGTTGTTACAGTTCGTACAACACATATTGCAAACGGATGTGATTCCCATAAGGTCCGAGACCTTGGTGTCTTGTAACTGTTGCATGAAGTTGCTACGATTCACCATCAAAGCTCTGTCTAAGTGCGCAGAGGTGAATCTGAGCGCCATTGGCGACTTCGATACGGAGCATTTTCCTTTGAAACAGAAGGACTATTGTCACTTTAAGAGCATTTGTTTGAAACATTCAACCTTGCCCGTACGAACAAACAGAAAGTGCATACGCGAGATTTATCAAGATCAATTTTCAGACGTAAATACTTTGGCAATAGTGAAGAGGAGACAGATGAAGATACTGAAGGACGGGATTCGATTTCTCGCTCATCTGGCTATATGCGATCCCGATTTTGTTATACGATTGTCAGATATCGAAGACTCCTTTCATCTGTTTATGAGGAACATAAGTAATTTCGACGACTTTGTCCTCCACGAGAATGAACGTAAGTGTGTACACGCGTCTGTGTCACAGGGCCTGATTATACTAATTTTAAAACATCCATACTGATAAGCTCATTCAATTTCTTTTTCCTTCTTCGGCCTCGTGCCACGATACGAGCTTTAAATTTGTTTCACTTTATCGGGCCGTCGGGAATTTTTACATTTCCGCCTGGGGCATTCGTTCGGTGTCGTCATCGGTTTAGTCTAGCCGGACGAATGCTTTGTGGAAATTACTGAATTTTAGTTAAAAACAAAAGAGAATTTGGTTAGCATACGATATAGTTGGTAAAGTAGTTCGGATACTGTTCAATTACTTTAATTACTTTCAATTAATGTTAACTAAAATTTTTGCGAATTTTTTTTAATTGATTATTCCGATTTGATTGTGTTGCTTTTTTTGTATAGAAGAGGCTATGAATCGAATAAAGCAAACGTTCATATTCGAAAAAACATCGCAATCCGAGATTGATGGTTTCAATAGGAGCAATACAAAGCAACTGGACATATTGTCGAATTTTGAAAAGAGATCTATTCAGCCAGCTTCCACAAGCCCTAAGAGGAAAGACATTCATAATAAATTTTTGACCACTATCAAATCCCTGTATGAACAGTAATCCCTGTATCTCCAGAATGGAAATATCTCATTATTAAGATATACTGAAAAGCTAACTATACTGTAAGATAAATTATTCCAAAACGGAAGAGTAACCAGTATATCTGAATTATGATGCCATAATACTCTGTAAATAGTATTTTGTAATGCAATCGACAAGTGTTACCAAACGTCATTTTATAATACAAATAAAACACCCTTCTAATACTTTCACGTGAATGTTCAATTTAGTATTATGTCCTCCACAATTAATTCCATCCAGAAACCGTACATCCAAGTATATAACTGCAATTCCGTGCAAGATCTCAATAATTATTCCCGAGACCCATTTTTTCTATGGATCCAAAAGTTCCTAAAGATCTTTTCTCGATGATTCCTTCAAAGACCCTCCTTTTGAATTCGAGAGTTCCCCAAGGAAGACCTCAAGTTAAAAACTGTGATGACGTTCCTACGAAACACAAATTCACATTTTACCTCACCGAATCTATCGAACAAACAAATAACAATGAAGTTGATCAGTGATATATAAACGTATCTCGAAGGATTTTTGAAAATTTTAAAAATATTTCAAATATAGTATTTATATATACTATTGTGTCAGCTGACGTTGCCTGCAAAATCCAAGCCAAATGCGGAAACAGATGGCTATGATTTTTTAGACAACGTTTGTCATTATTTGCCGGGAATTTCCTCGAAACTTGTACACAACTAATTATCAGGGAATCCACGGGGCAATAAATTGAACAGCAAGTGTTCCGAAAGGACGACTAGGGTCACGAAATCTACACGACAATTCCGGCCAAGAACAGACCAGAAGAATAAAAACGTGAGATCTATCAGAAATCGGCGAATTATGCAAGGACATTTTACGGTGACAGACCAACGGCTGCAACAGATCGAACCCTGGCGCCTTCCAGTCGTATATTTCGTTTCTCTCTTTTTCTATCCTTTTCTCTCGAGGGATTCATTTATCATCGGCGCAAAATGCAATTTGTAGGAATTCTCCTCAAGGCCTGACCAGTGTTCGACGCCGATAACTGGTGGGGACCGGAAGCAGATAGAAGGCTATCTGTGTCGGAGCGCGTCGACGGAAGCGATGTTCCCGCCTTTCGTCCCAACCGGAATAACCTCGAAACACGGCACCATCCCCGTCCCATTCATAGATGCAGAACGATCTCGAGCTGATTTGTACTTTTTATTCGTCGTTCGTGCCGGTTAAGCTTGTCTTCTCTTGCGTTCCATCCGGGCCATTTACTTGGAGAATCGGTTAGCCGTGGAAAAATCAACGTTACTCGCGTGTGTGCCATCTTTCATCGGTTCCGGACACGGTGTTTAACATGCGCGCGTAAAAGTTTCAAACTCGAGGGGGAGAGAGAGACAAAAGCATTCCCGCGAGAAGAAGAAAATCGTATTTTTTTTCTTCGTTCATCGAGTTATGGTGTCGACAGTGAATTAGTTACTAGAAGGTCTGGAAAACGATCAAAGGGACCGTTTAACATCCTCAGGATGAAGATATCCGCCTCGGCGCCGCTTCTTCTGCTGGCGTTCATCGCCCAGTCAGCCACCTCCCCGTTGCCGAGTAAGTGTACGTTGCGTTTTATTCAAATCCCTTCGGACCCACGGCCTGGCAAACGGAAATAAAAAGAACACGAAACTTCGTCAATCAGAGAAGCGAAAGATGATGGATTTCGTTCTACATATCGTCGGTTTAGTTCTTAAGGGGGTATTCTCGTGTGATAGGCCCGAAACAAAACAACAAATTTTTTTTTTACGTAAATCAGAAGTACAACGTGCTAAAAATATGCTCACAAAATTTGAAAGTTGAATTTCAAAAAAACAAAGCAGTTACGACATATCTTTGGAAGCGCTTTTCTCGAATCCTTGTTTTCGAAATTGGCGTACACGATAAGTCAAAAGCTAATTGAGTGACGAATTTTAGTTCATTTTTCATTCAAACGCTATAACTCTTCCAATTTTTCAAGTTTCTTTCTTTGAGTTTGGTTCAGTTCCACCGTTAACTATTTAACTTTAAGAAAATTTGCTGTTTTCTGTAATCAGATGTCTATGACAAGGTGCTATAGTGTACGCCAATAGGGGATACATCGTCGAATCGGATAACAAGCTGCTATATTAATTAATAAAGTGTAAAAACTATCGATATTAAAAGATATTTTCTACAACTGTAAGATGTTCCCTTTCATTCTAAAAAATGTTTAATCCCTTACTAGCAGTAGTTTTCTTACATAAAATTTATGAATATCAGTTACTTTTAGAGCTGTCACACGAGAATTCTCCTTTAAGAGTTCTATCTCCACTAGTTTCTAAACTAAGAAAACGGAGTTTAAAGTTTACGCAGATTCATAGAACCAGGAAATGTACTGAAATAATCAAACGCACTGTAATATCATGTACCGAATAGTTATTTGTTACAATATTCAACAAAATTTTATGTTATTATCAATAAAATTTTTGGTAAATATTTAGAATAGGGGAGGCAGCTCCGATGACCTTGACCTTGACATATGTTGTCAAGGTCACCCTCCTCAGTGACCCTCAGAAGGTTTTAGCAGTCGGCGGAGCCCCACCCCCGCGCATACAAACAGTTAAAAAAAAGCAGATATGTTAATAATAAAATGTTTATACTATTTAGGTGAGATTTAAATTTTGGAGTTAGTCATACACGTTATATTGTGAAATTTAATTGTTAATAATTTTTTAATAAATAAAGAACGACTGTTAAAATTTTCTCATGGTCACTCAGGAAGGTGAGATTTACAATATATGTCAAGGTCAAGGTCATTCAATACTCAAAATAAGGAGCCCTTCAATACTCAAAATAACTGCTACATTTTGCAGACTTCTTTTGTTTATACCGTTTTAATAAAAAACGAGCGACGGCTAAAACTTTCTGAAGGTTACTGAGTTAAGTTAAATTTTCAACAAAATTTCGTTAATCAATTTACGTACGTTTGATTGGTCCAAAGAATACAAATTTATCATAATATAAAGAAAAGTCAACCTAGGAAACAACAAATACTCTTTTAAGTCCTAACTCTGAAACTTTCAAAGTTTTTTTTTAATGGTTATATCTTCAAATACCAACAACAATTAAAACTTTATGTTCATAATAAGGTAAAGTTTTCTTAAATATTGTAACAAATAGCTATTCACTAGATGATATTATAGTGTATTTGATTATTTCACTACTTTCCTGCTGCTATAATATTAAACTTCGTAAACTTTACACTCAGTTATCTCAGTTACGCGAATTGTGGCTTCGTTTCGGAGTCATTAATTGTTTAAAATACTGGCGACATACGATATGTTGATACACGAGTTCGATCGACGACCTAGTTGAACTTACTGAATGAAAGAAAATCAATCAACTGTGTATCCCAATTACTCTACACATTTTGTTACCAAAGGGTGTGGGCCTGTAAATAAATTACTATTATTATTATTAAGAAATGAAAGAAACCAACTTGTGAAATCGTTGAAGAACAAGACTCTTAAGTAGAATAACCCGTCGCGCATCAGACGTAGTTCACGCGTACATCGGCCGTACTTTTTCAACGATTAATGACCTTGAAATGAAGCCGCGAACGTAATTTCATCATTCTTGATATTCTTTCTAGTTCAGCGTGTAGAATCCAACCTGTTAATGTGCCCGATATTTTTATTAACCCCCATATTGTCCCCTTCATTTTCCCGACATAATTTGTCTCGCAGTATCAAATTGACAAAGCTGTGAAATATTAGTACAATGCAGAAAAAAGAAGTTAAATTTTCAAATTCTTTCAAATAAAAATCACGGAATCTCGGCTAAACTTTTAGAGAAAAATACATCCTCCTATAATCGTATTTTCTTGAAATACTCCCACGCGTTTAACAACGAACAAACGTCAAAACCCATGTAATTGCGTGATTTGTGAAAACTTCTTTGTTTCTTGAAAGGGAGCTGTCCCGTGGTGAGGCTGCCGAATGGAAGGGTTCGAGCGAGGGCCAGAGGGAGGATCATAAGGTTCAGTTGCTACGACGGGTTCATTCTCGTGGGCAACAAGTATTCCACTTGCATTCGAGGCCAGTGGGATACACCTACGCCGATATGCGTCAGTAAGCACGAATTTCTAATCACGCCTGATTAAACAAACGATTGGAACAATGTTTCGGCAGTTCCGAAAGAGTTAAACTTCCTAGAGGGTACGCAAACGAAACACAATTAAGGGGCTTATGTTAATTATGGCAAATTACAAATTCTGATACAGAAAGTGACAGAATGTATTGATACTTCCAACGTTTTTTATGCGAAACTAAATACACTTTAATAAACTACAGAAAAAAGTGTAAAGTTATCATTGTTTTTAGAAAAAATGTAATATTTCCCAAAATGCATAATTTACCAAGGTATTTCTAGATGGTATACGTAAACATTCTTTGGTACTACTAGGGTTCATAATTCCGTATAAGTCACTGATCTGCAGTGATCTCCCCCCCCCGGGGGGGGGGGGGGGGGGGGGGCTCCCCTTTTGAAACCAAACAAAACAGGGTAAACAGAAACTAAGCAGAGGCTCGGCTTCGTGCAAAAAAACAAATTTAGAAGGGGCTGAAAATCTCTCCGCCTTGCCATGAATGCTCCGAAGCAAACCCCAGTATGTAGCACTTATCGAGATATTACTGCAATTTTAATTGGAACCCGTTTAAACAGACGCCGAATGCCAACCGCCGCCCACATCACCACATGCGTTAATGGCGCCGAAGTATAACGGCGCAATAATACAGTATTTTTGCGAGCCTGGCTACGCGTTGATCGGCTCAGCGGAGATTTACTGCGACGGAAGACAGTGGAACGGCACACCGCCCCATTGCCGAGGTGAATTTACTATATTTTTTTTTTACCTTTTAATCTTGTTCATCGCGGTATATGAACTGAAAATCGATGCGACAAAATTACTGACTTGAAAACTCGCATTGAGCAAAAACGTATTCATATCGGTCGTAAGTACATTAAAAACTTATGTAAATCGTTATCAAAGCGTATGACGAAAGTTTTACAGAACATGGGAGGACAGACAAGATATTAAAATAATTTTTATATGCTATCATTTTGTTGTACCGATTTTCAGTTATTTTGTTATATACTTAAATAATCGGACTCCTTTCAATTTTTGATACTAATACAGTGTGCTGTATGTGTAATATAGTTCTATATACACAAATATAGATAAATTTATTACGTAAAAATGTCTAAAACATTAAGTTTACACAGGTGTGCTATCTTTTCGTCACAAACTGTAAAATAAATTTTTCAAGTGTCACACATTTTTTATTAACACCCTGGTAGTATTATTGGCTTTGATAGTTAATGAATACTATGCGTTTTCAATCGCAGATACCACCGCGGAGACGCCGATTCAATGCGATTTCGAGAAGCCAGATCTCTGCTGGTGGGAGCAGGATCCCAAGCACGATTTCGATTGGCGACGACACAATTTCGAGACGCCTAGCTCTCATATAGGAACCGGACCTACCCACGATCACACTTTGGGACCGGAAAACGACGGTATATTCATTCTGTCGAATTTATATTTCGAACTTTTATAATTCATTGGAATTCAATTATTATAGCGAATACACAACAGTTGCTGTAAGTAGAGAAAACTGTTAATAGTCAGACACAGTTGGTACCGAGTGAGCGCGAAAAATGTCATTAAACGCTTTCGAAATGTTAAAATGTTTTCTGAAATATTTATATGTCGTGTAATATAGACAAAAATGCAAAAAGAAATATTTTTTCGTAATAGTTAAATAACTTGGGAATGAAAAAGTTGACCTGAAATACATATTTCATTTACCAAAACAGCATTTTTCATTTAAAATGTCATTTTAATATTTTATTACTTCTAATCGCTTCTTAATACTGTTATTATTTTAAATGCTAGGCGCCTACAACAGTAAGTGATCCACCATTTTCCTTGTAATGAACTGATAATAGACTGTTCCAATTCAAAACAACCGTTTGCCTGTTTCCTCTGTAAAAATGATAGCGTTTCGTCTTGAGTAACACGAGCGCACAAGTATACGGAAACATTATACGCTTCTGATTTCTTCGAGAACAGTTATTGAACCGAATTGCTATTAAATTTCACATCTATTGTTACGATGATATTCAAGAACAATTACAGATTTCGTAAAGATAATCCAATCCAGGATATAAAATTACGAACGAAGGGAATATTGTTCCCTTCGTTTTCTGTCGAAGAAAAATCACTACAAACAAAGCAACGTCGTCAGGACTATCCGATTTACCGTACTGTTATTTATTTGTGTTATTATTGAAATAACTAATAATAAAAATAACTTAGTCTATAAATTAAATAACAGAGTCTGCTGGCCGAGCTCTCGTGCTTTGATTGGTCGGGGTTTTTTTGGTAATATCTCGTTAACAAAGCCTTGGATAACATTTTTTCAAAGAAAAAAGTTGTTTCAAATCATCCCAAGAACCCCTCACTTCCGGGAGTCGAAGCTATTTTGGGACACCTGTACATGGAACTGTGAGGTTCGTCTGGGCCAATTATACCCGAGAAATCTGCTAACGAGACGGATTTCTTATGTCTCTGTTCGCCTCGGACAATCAATTGTTTTATTGGGCGTGAAATCACCAATGTTACTTCTTTTTTTTCCAGGATATTATTTGTATATCGAGGCGTCCGGCCGATTGGGGAACGACACGGCAAGAATAATTTCTCCCATATACAAGGCGTCGTACACGGAAGCAGGCTGCTTCTCCTTTTGGTAGTTATGATTCTTTGTTTATTTAATTGATAATTGAAGATATGGCCGATTTCACAAACTCACATCTGTGTACCGTAGTTCACAAGAATATGAAGTATACAGGGTGGACCAAAGATGAGGTTGAAATATCACGGAAGAAGGAAGTTCAACACTATTTTATTGGAGTTCAATTTACATTTAAAAAAAAGACAAAAGTAAAATAGGTTGAAACAAATATTGATACAAGTGTATCATGCAAATCGAAACTTAGAATACGAATCTGTGGGACACATTCTTCCTACGAAGAGAACTGTTAAAATTCGAAAAAAAAAAATTAAAAAAACGCGTGAATACGGTGATTTCGTTTGAATAACTTTTTCCATGGGGTTTGTCACATAGGTACCATATGTACGGAGCGGCAATGGGCATTCTGAACATCTATTTCAAGCTGGAGATGGAGAACACGTCTCGACTGATGTTTACCAAAGAGGGCAATCAGGGGAATAAATGGTTGCACGGTACATTCAATCTTCCGCGATCCGAAAAGAATTTTCAGGTAATGAATTCAAATATAACAAGAACGATTCACTGTCGACACTTCTTTTAGTTGAATAAAGGTGGGCTTAACCGACAAATGAATTCGGACACAGATGTCTTTTCTGTTTGTCTGTTGTTACGCCAACGTTACGGAAGTTCCGTTCTAGCAGTGTGTTTACTATTAATCCGACGCTGACTTTCATAAAAGTTACACTTACGTATTGGAAAATGTAAAACACACACGATTAATCGCAATCGTGCAATCCAAGATATTACTAATAGATGCAAAATCTCGAAATTCATTTCTGACTGTAAAAGATACTAAATATTCACGAACCATTTTTAGAATACATTTCTCATTCAGCAAATACTGTTCATAGCAAATGAATCGCTAATGTTCTTTCAACCGGTATTGTGTCAGTATTGTATTATTAGAAATACCTTCTCAAGAGCATCAAAGAACTGCGAGCATTTAAGATGAACATACACAGCCTAAAATAAACAGTACAGGTGAGGCGCGCGTTTAAAGTCTTTGTCTTTGAATCTGATCAATTCGGCTGGTAATTCAATTGATTCCGTTCGATATAAATATGCCTTGCCACTAAAGGACATTCTAAATATATTCTTGCGGCCAATTTAAATGCATCCTCTGACGCCTATGCTTAGGATCCCTTGACGTCCCAAAATGGGAATTCTATTCGAGGTATAGATTTCAATACACGTTTATATTTAGATACAAACCATATCCCAAAGTAGTCGGATTCCTATATTAAATATATGATTGGCGCCATTAAAGCCTATATTTAAGATTCGAACGTGGCCCGTCAACCCTTTAATTTGTGGAATTACAGTGTTTCGATCGAAATGGTATATCTTCCTGCGACGGGCACGGGTTAATTCTATCAACAAGAATTTTCTAATAATAGAACGATACATACGCTACAAACAATTTATAGTTTCATCGAAACGGAACTCAAAGACTGTACATTCGATAATAATTCGCAACTCGAATTCGTCGCACTCATCGAAACATTACTGTACTTCTAACATCTTTGTGTATGAAAATTTGACAATTTTGTTTTTCACTAATGATTCGGTAATGTCTAATTTAAACGGAAATGGTCCCTACAATGGGAACCATGAAGTTTCACGATTCTATCACAGTACGGCGACCGGTTCTGTAACTTTTCATTTAAACGAAAACTGGCAATTTTTCGAACTTTCTACTTCGAACAATTTAATCCACGAAATTTCACAGGTCTGTCGCATCGTGATTTCCGATCACAAGTGGCACACTTGAAATCCTGTTTCATGGTCCTAACGTTTTCGTATAGAAAATCTCGCCTCATTAATTAAATGTTGATTTCACCGAACGTTTCAGATCATAATCGAAGGCATTCGCGGGAGCAGCTACGTAAGCGACATCGCGATCGACGATGTGGCCATTCTGCAGGGTGACAAATGCCAGAATACGAGCAAATCGGAGAACGAGACCGTGACTACCGAGGGCTACGATGGTAATTAAAAATCCAGTTAATCCTTTAATTAAACGCAAAACAATTTTCGATCGCTCGTGCTAAATAAACCGTACGATCTGCTAAATCTTGATTTCGGCCCACTGCACAGTGGTCAGTTTGAACATCATATACAGGGTGTCCCAAATTAGATTTAAATTCTCGAAAGGGGTGATTTCTGGGCTGATTTGAAACAACTTTCTCGAAGGGAAAGTTCTTCTTCTCCAGGAATCGTCCCTTTCAAGTACTTACAACTATTTTGGGACACCCTGCACACGCGTCCTAGGTATTTACTTGCACAGTGACTGAATTGTTTTTTGTCGATTTTACAGACCAGGTGGAGCACGTGAACGCGCAGCAATCATGTCGCGGAAGATGCAAGAATGCCGTCACGTTCAACGTTACAACCTCACCGTTACCACCGCTGTCCGACACGTGTCTGTGCACTATCGACTGCGCCGAACACTCGATTTGCTGCCCGGATTACGCTGAATACTGTGTCTTAGGTGAATCCTCCGTAACAAGCTGGTCGTCCCCCCGTTACCATCGAATATTACCATCGTGGATTACGCGAAACGTCGGGATAGCAGACGTCCACGATCAATAAAGGAGGAACGCCGTGTCCTCTTTATTGACGGACGCGTAAACGTTCTTTTGTTCTCATCACGGCGAACAAATGTTCCCTCGTGGCGCGTGCTCTTTTTTGTATTAATCCACGGACCACATTTTTGCCCCGAGTCTAGTTTGACCCACGTTTTCGAGAGAGCTTCCAGCGTATATGGACAAATAATTGATATATTTCAAAAATGTAAAAACAGGCTCATAGTACATCGAAAACACTACGACGCAATTACCTAATATAATGCATAATATAATGGTTTGATAAAATAGACATAAAGGTCTCTAGTTTTATTGGCATATGATTAAAAAAATTTTGCGGATATTTTCTTAGGTCGTTATATAAATGATGAAACTGTCTAAGTTCACGTCTTTTAGTATTAATGGAATGCAGACAATATTCGCGTTTAGAAATAATAATTATTGTTTAAAATCATTCATGGTTCATCTTTGCGAAACCTTAAACGACTGAAATTGTACCATTATCACAGCTCCGCTATAAACAAATCAAGAATTATTGTCGCTTCGATCGACGTTCTTATAGCTTCCATCACAGTTCCAACATAAACGTACCCTTAGTCATAGATAGAATGCGGTATTTATGCAATTATGGCCTATAGAGCTCTGTAAAATGCAATGAACGACAAAACTTTCGTCAGATGCAACTAGTTTTTCATGTTCTCTTTAATCCAACAAGATAGTTAAGTAAATAAAAAATTTCTACCTTTGTTTCTGTCATGAATTGCTTTATAAAATGTCAGTTTGCATAAAAATCCGCAATCTAGTTATAGGGAAACGGAACGACCAAATATCTCTGTTGAGATCAAAAGTAGCTGGAATATGTTCAAAGATGCTACAGTAAATTCTCGATGAGTGTTCTTGGAATTCTGAAGCCAATAATATTTGTTTTAGTCGCATATGGCTATTAGTTTATGAAATATTTAATGTTCAGTGCCGAGGAGCCTTTCAACACTCATCGAGGATTTACTGTATTGTTCAAGGTGGAGGGGGCAAAGGTGGTGGTGTAAAGGAACTTTTTCGTCGATGTTACTTTCAAGGTTATTCCGAGGATGATCGATGTTCTCGTAAATGGCATCGTGTAGTATTAACTTCCATAGCGTGATTGTTGAAATTCACATTAATACGAACATCATACGGACCGTTTCAGCTTTCACGGAAGAGCAAACCACAGAGGCCGTGGATGCTACCACCGCGATCCGCGATGCGGTTTCCGTGCTGCCAGCAAAGAAGGGCAATAACGTGACCGATATCGCGACCATACGACCGGCGGACGGCAAAGGTATTTCCATATACCCGAAAGATGAAATCGATCCAATCACCGTGAGACCATGGACGACCACCTCACTCAGCCCGATCACGAACTCAACTGGCCCGAAAACCGAGGGACCATTGAATACCACACGACGGCCGATCACGATCGTTCCAACCGTGAAATCTACCCCCCAGCCGAAAGAGACACCATTTTTGGGGACCACTAGCGCTACCAGGGGTCACGTGCCATTGGACGAGCAATCTGATATACATGGTGAGTTATTCAACGGTAGCCTAAAAGGTTAAACAGTTCAATCACGGTAGTGAATCTAATAGAATAACGTAACAATTTTTACAATTAACCCTGATCTAATAAGGGAACATATTTAATGAAACTTATACGGGCGATAGTTCTCCGAGAAATATTTGAGACATATTTTTTTTTCACCGGTCATCGTATATGTCAACGGGATGACAGCAGTCCCCAATGTTAAGGGATGAAAATATATTTTTTTTTGAATATCTCGAAAACCAGAGGGAGTAGGAAGAAGTTTTTGCTTTTAAACTGTGTGCTTTTGAATGGACAATTTAGTTACGTAAAAAAAATTGAAGAAAAAAATATTTCTTCGATAATTTATACCAAATAAAATTTCACACCTGATTTTATTGTAGATCCAAACGCGAGGCACGGAGACTCTGAGAAAGTGCACCGCGGCGCGTCTACCGCGAAGTTCAGCATGCCTGGTATCATAGGTGCCGTCGTCGGGATTCTGACGGGTGTCACGATTACGCTGATGGTCGCGATCATCATCGTTAGACGGCGGAAAACGTACAAACGCGGAACAAACGGATCTGCGCTCTCAGAGGACAGCGACGTTCGGTTCTTGACGTCCGACGAGATCTTGGACTTCACGTTGGCCAGACCGAGCGAGAACGACGACACGTAGGCGACACACATACACACAATTTAACGGATTGTCCTCGTTGGGTGCCCATTCAACCTAGAGGTGCGATTATCGATAAACTGATTGATAAATGTCGATACTACCGAATTGTTATCGATGTTTCGATATATCGATAATAATAATATAATATATAATATTTATTTATAAACGGGTTATGAACCCTTTGGTACAATATACAAGTATACAGAAGGAGTCTAGAGGACAAACGGAAAGATTAGATGCGTAAGATATACCAGAGCTTACAAAGACTTATAGTGACTGTACGGGGAGTTTATCAAAAATTAACAAAAATAGTATGGGACTGTATGAAGAATTATAAAAATAGGCAACAAAACAAAATGGAAAATATTTGCTGAAGTATTTACAAGAGTATACAGAAAGTTGTGATTATGGCGAGGGAAATGCGTAGTTATCGAAATAGGAACAAATAACGGAATAGAAAATAGAAACAGAGAAGGAAGTATATAAGAATAGATAATGATAATGTATCGATAGTTGCACCTCTACTTCAATCTGTTATTAAGGTCCGTTTACACGTTCAAAGAATTCGCGGAAATGAACTGAGTTGTTGTATGTATTTCTATTGGAGGCTCGTTTACACATACAAATAATTTGCGCAAACTTACATGTAATAATATACAAGTCAGTTCGCGCAAATTACTTGAATGTGTAAACAGGCCTTTAACTGAGGAAAGGGTGGAGGGGAGGCGGTGGGATAGGTGGGGTGGGGGGACGATGACACGGGGAACACTTTCTTGGCAAAATTTTTCTTGAAATATTATTTTTGTGTCGCGGTTGGATCCCGAAAGAATTTCTGTTCGTGACCGATGTTTTTACACTTGGGACACATGAAAAACCGTTCGAAAGTTTGTTCGTCTTCTCGAAACCACATTTTTGTAGAAGGCTGCAAAACTTTACGTACTAATCACAACTTCAAGCTGTTAACAGAACGGAAAACAGATTCCCGGGAGTAAACGTTCGTTAGAAGTATTATAACGTTGTTTAACAAAGAAATAATCCTGTATGATACAGAGACAATTGTGAAAATGATACAAATGAATATGTAAGAAAAAAACATGTAATGAATATCCAACAATTTATTGCCATAGAAGTTATCAACGGAATTAAATGTAAGAACCTTACACTGGGAGATAGAATTTGAAATAAATGTTCGATATAAAGTATTGAAAAGATCCTCTTGAAGCATTCCTCTTTTGTTCCAAAACCAACCACTACTGCAAATGCTACGTATAATGGCTTCGATTGTATACTGAATTAAATTGTGTGGTACACAATCAGAAATGGGAAAACTCTCGAGTAGGGAAGAAAACAAAGGCCATCTTGAAATCCCAGAAGCACCTAGAATCTCTGATTATCGTAAAATGTTCCCATCGAAACAAAGAAAGGTAAAACTTACGTTTACATTATTTACCTCGCATTAACAAATGATTAAAAAAAATTATTTACATGGTTGGATTCCACATTCAAAAATACACAATTAAAAAAAATCTGATGTAGACACCATTAGTCGTTTAGAAGAAAATTCGATGTCTAAGATTTAGCCGTTTCATCCCACTATGGGGCGGAAGTTAATTCAACCAGACCGATCGATAATTAGCCTAAAATAGCAGCTGTGATATTAAAATAAACATTTCCACCCCGTTTCAAACCCCTAAATTTCGGGTTACGTTTCGAGACGGATAACCCTGTACCACTGAGGTGCATGTGTCGGATCGATAAACACGTGCCCTTATCGCAGTTTCCCTGGTTTCACTTTAATCTTGATCTGTGATCCCCCGGATTTACTTCGAACGTGTATTCAAGGTATACGGCCGGCTCGAGGGACGCGTTTAATTAACGATTATACGTTTTCGCTTCCGCGAAACCGATCCGTGTCCAACGGAGCGTGAATTAACAGATTGTCAACTATGTGGTTATTAGGGAAAAATACTGCGTGTCACGTGTCTTCATTTTCTGATGTACTATCATTTTACCACTTTTTGTTATAATAACACCCCCAAAACAATGAGCACGTTTCTACTTGAAGGTGGTATACCTGAGACTGATCCTATTTGAGAAGTGGAAATTTGTATTTAGTGCGAAATGCCTCTGTTTACCTTTCTCACTGAAATAGTACGTTTAATAATAACTTCTTTTACAAACGGCGACCCCCAGCTAAAATCTTCACAACATTTCTCAGGACGATGAGCTTGAAAATATATTGAAAAATCATTGAAATCGGAGATGGCTCCCTTATTGTAAATATTTACTAAAAATTTTGTTAAATATTGTAATAAATAACTATTCAGTAGATGATATTGTAGTGTGTTTGATTATTTTACTACTTTTATGCATCTATAATATTAAACTTCGTAAACTTTGAACTCGGTTTTCGCGGTTGAGAAACTAGTGGAGATAGAACAATTAAGAATTAGAACGACGATATGTAAAATATGTTACGGGGGTAATTACGTACGGGCAGTGGGCCGGATATACTTCTGTGAGTAACTGTGTACTCGTTTAATCAACCTTGGCCTTCATTCTCGAAATATCCCCTGCTACCCCGTAATTTAATTACACTCGTCACATTGAGTCAGGGTTTTTGCTGGTCGAATACAACCCCGATGAACACAATTACGGGATCGTTCAACCCCCTCACCCTCCCACGTCCACTGTTCCGGTTAATTTGACCCGAAAATCGAATGTGTCTGACCTTTAACCCTCCGGAGGTCGCAGTCCTAAAGGTTCCGTGGGAAGTCACGGTGTATCCTAAAGATACAATAATTGATGTTCTATATTTTCAGACAAAAAAAATATCAGACATCTTGAACCTTCTGTACGCAATTCAATAATATAGTTTTCATTGACACTTTCACTTTCAAACTAATCTTTCGCGTTTATCTGTCAGATCAACTGTGACTTCCGGAGGGTTAATTATGCTGTTTATTATGAAAACTGGTAAAATCCATTTGACGTCGACTGCTTGGGCGTGTATTGTAATTCCAGTTGTATCCGTATTATAATAGAAACAATAAATAACTAAGTAAAGATAATAACAAAAACATTTTGGTGCTAAGTCCTGACAGGCACCTGTTTTGTCCCTGTCCCACCTATGTGATCGTCACTTCTCATCTATAGTTATATTACTTATATGTTACTTATTTAGATTGTAATAAATACATTCTACAAAAATGAACGACAATAGGTATCATATTAGAACAATAAAACATCTGGGCTATGGTGATCGATTTTCCTCCGAGACGAAGCGAATGTGTTAAGTGAGTAGAAATTGGGACATTTAACTTACGTGTCGGGTGTCGAGGTTTACCCTGAATTACCAACTTCTCTCCACACTTACATTACACAGCCAGCAGAAAATAACCATTTCGATTGTCAGGTTTGGTCGAGTTTCGAGTCGTCCGTGTCCGATTCGTGTCACTAGCTGGCTCTAAGTAATCCTGTTTCTTCGCCGATTGGACCTTTCACCGAGGCTCTCTCGCTCTTCGTCTCTTCTCTATAGCGACTTTCCACGGTTGGATTCGTGTTGGGGGATATCGCCCTCGAAAGCTCTTCGGGGTTGCACAGTTGCGGACGGAGGTCATCACGCTGAGCAGAATTTCAGAACACTGTGGAGTCCGTACATCGTTTTGGGGCCGTTACCTGAGGAGGGTCGCTTCGAGACCTATTGTAGGGGGGTTAAAGAGGGACCACAGGGGATCGTAAGGGGAAAAATTATCGTGGGGAAATAAATTGGACGTATTTTATTAGAAGGGAAGTTGGTGAACGGTCTTATGAAAAATGGTTCTTTCATTATACTCTGCGATTTATCGACGTGCTGAGTCAGACGGTGAAGATTAAAAAGTCTCGATGTCGGTTTGATGAAACAAGCATCGTACATTTATTCAAGAAGCATGAAGAAAAGAAACAGCCAATTGTTTATAGCCAGTTCTGTCGAGATTCGACGTCGTTCGGTCGCAGAAGAAACAGGAAACCGGCCGCGGCGTACAGCGACGCAGAATGTTTTAAAGTGTGAGCATGTGTGTGTACGTGTGTGTATGTGTATGTACGTGATACATCGTCTAAAAATATATCTTCGAAGCTGGTGCCAATAAAAATGGTACTTAGCTTGGCTTATTTCCTCTGTACAACTGTCTTAATCTGGAATCTGGCTCTGAAATTAAGGCTAGTCGTCGTAATTCGAAAGAAGATTGTTTTGTAATAAAGGTGCATTGTTCTCGATCGCGAGGCATTTTTGCGTGTGCGACATTTATGCGATCGAGGGGTTCGTAATAAAAACAGACCACCTTTAAAAAAAAAAAACAGCTACCATCTCTGGAAAACGAACAAAAAAGGTCTTTCTACTCTCTCGAATATGTATTTTCAATTTCATCGCTATTATCACGTTCGTTTCTTGATCTCCGGTTAATAAGTTAACAGGGCGGAACGGCTGTCGACGTTTTTGGCACCAGGAACGGTGATCGATTGAGATTCTTAAAGAGTGTTTCTTCGTTTTAATAGAAACCTTAAGAGAAAAGTTGTGACGCGTCAAGCGATTATTAAATTGTATTAATAAAGGATCGTTTTTCGTTATGCACCCCTCGATTATCTCTTTGATTTATATTTTATGCTTTGCTCTTCCGCTCCGTTACACATCATTCCGCCATTGTCACGTTACTGCTCAACCGGCCGCCAATTTTTCAGTTAACGCAACTTACTGTGAAGAAACTGAAAAAAAAAGTACGAAAAAGTCTGACTAAACATAAATGAAATAATCATGTTTGTGGTAATCAATTTTCTTCAAGTTAATAAGTCAATGGTTTTGAACTTACATCTGTGTGGTCGTGGCGTCAATTTACTTTGTCTTTCTATTGTTTATCGATTGGAAATTCTACGCCAAAAAGAAAAGTTGAAACCGTAGCAATGGAATTTATTCATACTAGGCTTCGTTGTCGACCGAATCGACGACGATAAACCGGTGAATA